TGTTGTTCAAGACCAGTATGAGCAAAAAGTTAGCAAGGGCACTGTTGGCCTGTAATCCTAACCTCAGGAGGCTGAGATCTGAGGATTATTATTCAAAGCCAGCCAAAAAGCCAGAAGTGGAACTGTGACCCAAGTGGTAGAGCTCTAGCTTAGGGACAGTAACTAGGCCCTGAGTTTAAGCTCCAGGATTGGCGTGCACGTATACACACACACACAGCAAGATCAAATCTCAACTAATAAGCTGAGAGTGGTGGTATGTATCTGTAATCCCAACTACTCTGGGAAGCACAAAAAGAGGATCCCAATCTAAGTCCAGCCGCAGTCTAAAACATGAGACTCTATCCCAAAAATAACTGAAATAGAAGCGGGCTAGAGACATGGCTCAAGTGGTAGAGTCTAGCAAGCACAAGGTCTGAGTGTATAGTAGCACCAAAAATAAAACCAGGAAGAAAGAAGAAAAAGAAACTAAAATGAAAACTACCATATTATCCTGATAAATGTAATTCAACATATAATAGATACCTATCCATCCATGAAATTAGCCTAGGTTACCAAAAGCCAGTGAATAGATAAGGAGATGTAGTCCCTATACATAATGATATGTTACTTGACAAATAGGAATGAAATTTTAAAAAATGGATGGAACTGGAGAGCATCAGTTTGATCCAGGTAAGTCAAGGTCAGACAAATATCACATTTTAGCTCATACTTGGACTCCAGACCTAAAAAAAATATGACATGATAGTAAAAGGGGGACTGTGGAGGCACAGAACCAACAGGATGGGAAAGGGGGAAAGAAGATGATGAAGGGGATAGATATGATAAAAGTACATCATATACATGTATGAAGTAGCCTAATGACCCTACTAAGAACTGTTACAAAGGTGGGGGAATAGCTGGGTGCTGGTGGCTCACACCTGTAATCCTAGCTACTCAGAAGGCTGAGTTCTGAGGTTCGCAGTTGGAAGTTGGAAAAGTCCATGATACTCTTATCTCTAATAAACTACTCAGAAAAAGCCAGAAGTAACCTGTGGCTCAGGTGGTAGAGTTTTAGCCTTGGGCACAAAGAGGCTCAGGGACAGGACCTAGGCCCAGAGTTCAAGCCCCAGGACTGGCGGGGAAAAAAAAATAGGTTGGGGAGGAGGGTTGGAGTACAAGAGTAATACAGATGAGGTGAATTTGATTAAACTACATTATATGCATGTGTGTAAGTATCACAATGAAAAACCTCTATAAATTATTTATGCTAATTTAAAAAACTATGAGCTCGGGGCTGGGAAGGTGGCTCAGTGGTAGAGCACTTGCCTTGCATGCTCAAGGCCCTGGGTTCGATTCCTCAGCACCACATAAGCAAAAAGAAAAAAACCGGAAGTGGCGCTGTGGCTCAAGTGGTAGAGTGCTAGCCTTGAGCTGAAGAGCTGAGGGACAGCGCCCAGGCCCAGAGTTCAGGCCCCACGACCAGACCCAAAAAAAAAAAAAAAAAAAAACTATGAGCTCTAGTCCAGGCATGGTGCTGCACATTATCTCAGCACTAAGGAGGCTGATGTAGAAGGACCTTGAGCTAGAGGCCATCTTAGGCCATATGTCAAACTCTACCTCAAACATAAATAGAAGAGCTGGATTTTTGCTTAAGTGCTAAAGCACCTCCATAACAACTATGAGGCCTTGGGTTCAAGTCACAATACTGGCACAGAAAACAAACAGATTCAAAGAGAATGGAGGGCTGGAAAGGTGACTCAGTGGTAGAGTGCTTGCCTCCTATAAATGAGGCCCTGGATTTGACTCCTCAGCACGACATAAACAGAAAAAAACCAGAAGTCATGCTATGGCTTAAGTGGTAGAGCACTTGCCTTGAGCTGAGGGACAATGCCCAGGCCCAGAGTTCAAGTCCCATGACTGATTAAAAAAAGCCTTGAGTTGAGTAAGAGATAGATAAAAGTATATATTGATAAATATTCATATTCAGTATATATTTGTTGTTGACTTGTTATTTATCATTGACTATAGTTGACACTGCAGAAGGGATACTAAGACAAATCAGGTGTATATTCTACTTCAAGTAGATCTCCCAGGAAGAGAAACAATAAAACATACGTATGTGAGATATAGTAAAAGCCCATGTTAACTCCTGTGAAGTTTGAGAACAGCTAATCACAGCTTAGAGTTGGTGATTGCTCACAAGATGGCTAGGATTTGGACAGATGCCAGTGGTGGAGAGGGCATTTCAGGAATAGAGAACAGCATGATCACAGAGGTAGAGAAGCAGAAGGCATGCTCAGGGAAGTACAAACACTTACATTTTGTTAGAATGTAGGATTTGTGAAAAGCAGTGGAAAATGTAAATGAAAAGATTGGCTGAGATTTGCCAACATTCACGTCACCTCAAATCTCCTTTTCAGGATTCCATCCGTGCAGTCTTGGGAAACTTGGACAATCTGCAGCCATTTGTTACGGAGCACTTCATTGTATTTCCCTGTATCCTTCATTTCCAGGCTGTTAATGAGCTGTGTCTCCTTGGGTCGATTCAAATGGAAGCAGCCAGACCACAGACATTTGGAGGTTAGATCAGGGCAAAGAGGGAGGGAGACCCAACCTTAAAACGTCTCAGCGGTGCACATCAGCCTCCCTCAGTCCTTAGCACCATTTCACAGATAAAAGCAAATGGGAGAGAGTTTCCCACCTGAAATTCAAACATGAGAAGGTCATCTTGGCCCCTTACCCATTTGTTTTCACTCTCTATGTAGAGATGAAATGGCTTCACGAAAATCTGTCACCAGGTAAGTAGGATGACAGGAGTGAGGATGGTAGAGAAGAAGGCCAGTCAGCAGGGTGAGCTGGGTATGGTAAGGGGTTCTGCCAAACTGGACTCTGGCTGTACAGTGCACAGGCCTGGAACACACACTCTAAGCCTGGCTCAGTACCTCATCACTTTGCCATTTAAAAGCTGTGTGAGCTGGGCACTAGTGGCACATGCCTGTAATCCTAGCTACTCAAGAGGCTGAGATCTGAGGATCGTGGTTCAAAGCCAGCCCAGGCAGGAAAGACCATGAGACTCCTATCTCCAATAAGCCACCAGAAAAGCTGGAAGTGGCGCTGTAGCTCAAATGGTAGAGCACTGGCCTTGAGCTGAAGAGCTGAGGGACAGAGCCCAAGCCCAGAGTTCAACCCCCATGACTGACCAAAAAAAAAAGCTGTGTGACCTTAGGTAATTACTTAAATCTTTCTGTGCCACCTAGTGAAGTGGAGAAGAATCATACTAATAGCTATCTCACTGAGTTTTTTTTTTTTGGTCCGGTCATGGGGCCTGAACTCTGGGCCTGGGCACTGTCCCTCAGCTCTTCAGCTCAAGGCTAGCGCTCTACCACTTGAGCCACAGTACCACTTCTGGATTTTTTCTTTTTGCTTATATGGTGCTGAGGAATCGAACCCAGGGCCTCAGGCATGCAAGGCAAGTGCTCTACCACTGAGCCACCTTCCCAGCCCATCACTGAGATTTTTAAAAAAACTTTTGTAAACTTCTTTGTTATCTTTTTTTTGGGGGGTGGAGGAGACTGTGGAGGTTGGGGATGGGAGCAGGATGAGAGGCTTCGCCTGAAGATCTTGCCTTAGATCTTTGAGGAGGTTTAGGGTGACCAGTCTCTAAGATTCCACTTGGCTAAGGACCACCTGCACACATACCTCCCATGCACTGGATTGGATTCCCATGATCCTGACTGATATCTGGCTGGATTTGGCTGTGTGGTTTGATATTTACCTGGTTGTTATATGTCCATCAACAGTTCTAAGTCTGGCCAACATATTGAGGTTTTTGTTTTTGTTTTTGTTGGTTGTAGGGCTTGAATTCAGGGCCTGGGCGCTGTCCTTGAGCTCACTTGCTCTAGGCTAATGCTGTAGCACTTTGAGCTGCAGTGCCACCTTCAGCTTTCTGGTGGTTAATTGGTGATAAGAGTCTCATGGACTTTCTTGCCCAGGCTGGCTTTGAACTGTGATCCTCAGATCTCAGTCTCCTGAGTAGGTAGGATTACAGGTATGAGCCACCTGTGTCTGGCTCTCATTAAGATTTTTTAAAGTATTAAATATAAATAATAGAGCTGGGAAGGTGGCCCATTGGTAGAGTGCCTGCCTTGCATGCATGAGGTCCTGGGTTTGATTGCTCAGCGCTACATAAACAGAAAAATCAGAAGTGGTGTTGTGGCTCAAGTGGTAGAATGCAAGCCTTGAGCTGAAGAGTGAAGGGACAGCACCCAGACCCAGAGTTCAGGTCCCATGGCCAACAAAATAAAATAAAATAAATGGGGAATTGTCTTCACTGTGTCTTCTAAGCTACATTCCCAGCCCCATGAGGAGGTTTTGTCTGGTACCAGTTCCAAGAAGTAGATACAGCTTGAAATCCAAGCAGATTTATCCACTTTGACATTCGAATTTTCTGTTGTAGGGAAGTCAATCAACAACACTTCTCCTGGATTGGTAAGTTTGCCTTGTCTGAACAAAATGGAATTGCCTCAATTGCTTCTGTTGTCTCCAAAATGCTCTTCTTATCCCCTCCTCTGCCTTTACTGCTCAGTGCCTGCCCCAGCCCCATCAAAATTAAAAACAAAAAACTATGTTTTCCTCTGGCTCCATTTGTTGTATCTAATGGAACAGCAATCCTTGCTGCAAAGCCATTTGCATTTGGCAATTTAAAAATGGGGAATTGGGGCTGGGAAGTTGGCTTAGTGGTAGAGCGCTTGTCTCGCATGCATGAGACCCTGGGTTTGATTCCTCAGCACCACATAAGCAGAAAAAGTCGGAAATGGTGCTGTGGCTCAAGTGGTAGAGTGCTAGCCTTGAGCTGAAGAGCTGAGGGACAGCGCCCAGGCCCAGAGTTCAGGTCCCACGGCCAACAAAACAAAATAAAATAAAATAAATGGGGAATTGTCTTCACTGTGTCTTCTAACTGTGAGCCGTTCTGGAAAAGGAGGGGTTACAGGAGTGTGGTTCTTCCCTAGGACCTAGCTGAGAAGAAAGCAGCAGAAGCTACAATGAGGAAACGAAAACTATCAGAGGAGCCCGGTTCCCCCAGCAGGCCAGAGCCGCACAGGTCAGTGGTGTTGGAGAGGCTACTTCTTGCTTCCCAGGCAGGCTTTGCCACCTGTATCTTGTCCTTGGGCAAGTCACTTTCCTTTGGGGCTTCATGAGTAATCTGCCCATTCCAATGGGTAGGTTACAGCAAGGAAGTGAGTTGATATTTGCAATGTAATTTGAACACAGTCCCTTTTTTCGGCAAAATACAGAGAGTACTTTCATCAAAATGAAGCCTTTTCTAGGGATATAGATCAGAGCTAAAGCTAAAGCTCTTGCTTAGCATGTGTGAGGCTCTGAAATCGATTCCTAAGTACTGGGGGGAAAAAAATGTAAGAAACTGAACTCAATGTTAAAACAACAACTACAAAAAAAAAAACCTACAACTGGGAAAACCTTGGAAAAGTTAAAATATAATTCTCGGAGCCAGGTACTGATGGCTCATGCCTGTAATCCTAGCTACTCAAGAGGCTGAGATCTGAGGATCACGGTTCAAAGCCAGCCTGGGCAGGAATGTAAGTAAGACTCTTATCTCCAATTAACCATCAGAAAACCAGAAGTGGTGCTGTGGCTCAAGTGGTAGACACCCTAGCCTTGAGCTGAAGAGCTGGGGCACAGTGCCCAGGCCCAGAGTTCAAGCCCTATGACCAGTAACAACAACTATATATATATATATATATGTATATGTGTATATAATAACTATGTATATATATATAATAACTGTATATATAATTTCCCTTTTTCAGTACGTTTCTTCTCTCTTTCCTCCTTCGTTCCTTTCCTCGCTCCTTTCTTCCTTCCCTCTCTCCCTCCCTCTGTGTGTGCCTCCCTCCTTCCTTTCTTCTTCCTTCCTCCCTTCTTTGCTTTTTTCCTTCCCTCCCTCCCTCCCACCCTCTTTTCTTCCTTCCTTTTGCCAGTACTAGGGCTTGAACTCAAGTCCTCTTGCTCTCCCTTGTGGTTTCACTCCAAGTTGGTGCTCTGCCATTTGTGTCATAGCTCCATTTCCTGCTTTTTTGGTTGTTACTTGAAGATAAGAGTCTTTTTTTTTGGGGGGGGGGTCCAGTCGTGGGGCCTGAACTCTGGGCCTGGGCACCATTCCTCAGCATTTCAGCTCAAGGCTAGCACTCTACCACTTGAGCCACAGTGCCACTTCCGGCTTTTTTTTTCCCTGCTTATGTGGTGCTGAGGAATCGAACCCAGGGCCTCATGCATGCAAGGCAAGCATTCTACCACTGAGCCACCTTCCCAGTCCCCAAGATAAGAGTCTTTTTTTGCTTTTTTTTTTTTTGGTGAGGGGGGTCCGGTCGTGGGGCCTGAACTCTGTGCCTGGGCGCTGTCCCTCAGCTCTTCAGCTCAAGGCTAGCACTCTACCACTTGAGCCACAGTGCTACTTCTGGCTTTTTTTTTCTTTTTGCTTATGTGGTGCTGAGGAATTGAACCCAGGGCCTCATGCATGTAAGGCAAGAGCTCTACCACTGAGCCACCTAAGATAAAGATAAGAGTCTTATAGCCATGGGGCTGGGAAGGTGGCTCAGCGGTAGAGTGCATGCCTTGCAAGCATGAGGCCCTGGGATCAATTCCTCAGCACCACATAAACAGAAAAAGCCAGAAGTGGCGCTGTGGCTCCAGTGGTAGAGTGCTAGCCTTGAGCTGAAGAGCTGAGGGACAGCGCCCAGGCCCAGAGTTCAAGTCCCATGACTGGCAAAAAAAAAAGAGTCTTACAGCCAGTACAGGCTGGCTTCAAACTGTGATCCTCAAATCTTAGCTCCTCGAATAGCTAGGATTGTAATGTGAGCCACCAGTGGCTTTTAAGCTTCTCTGAAACATTAAGCGCAATATAGGTAGACTATATATGTTTAAAAATATCCATTTCAGTTATTAGTGGGATATGAATTGTTGCAGGGAATTTTAAGCACATCCCAACATATGGATGGCACTGTTTTGGAGGATGTTTATATTTTATTTTTTTTTTATTTTTTATTTTTTGTCAGTCATGAGGCTTGAACGCAGGGCCTGGGCACTGAGCTTTTTTTGCTCAAGGGTAGCACTCTACCACTTTGAGCCACAGTACCACTTCTGGCTTTCTGGTAATGAATTGGAGATAAGAGTCCATAAACTTTCCTGCCTGAGTTGGCTTCAAACTGCAATTCTCAGATCTGAGCCTCCTGAGTAGCTAGGATTACAGGCATGAGCCACCAACACCGATCTTATTCTTTGGATTTTCTATCAAGGACAGTTGAGTTGGAAAGACAAGTTAGTTAGTCTTAGTATCCAGAGAGGCCTGGTGTGCTTTTCAGCCTAGCCCTAGGTACTTTCACCCCACATTCACAGAAAGCCACTGCTCTTTTGAGGTGATATGATTGGATTGTATGGACCCTTAGACATTCAGGAATAGCACGGGAAAACCATGAAGACCTGATCTGTGCCTTCCAGATGCATGTCAACCTCAAGCAGGGAGTTCTGTTCCAAGCCAGTGGAGTGAGGGAAACTCAGAGCTGAGAAAGGGAATTTCATAGAGGTGTGACCTTAGCTCTTCCCTTCTTCTGGGTTTTTATGTACAATCAAGTATTTCAGAATCTGGTAACTTCTGTCAGTTACATTTTTCTTTTTGAAATGTCATGCACTTAAATATCTCAAACTGGAATTCTATTGTGAATTAAAGCAGCACCCAAAGAAAATTTGGCCACACCATTTTTCCTGCCAGCCAGGAGTGGTATAAAAATAGCCAACCTGCTGAAATATTCATTCAGGCTACATATGCTTGAATGCGGTAATGTTGCCACCATCACTAACCACTAACAATTCCTCAGGGCCAAGATGGAGACTTCCAGCCAAGGCCTGAACAAAAAGAAGCCCCCAGTGGAATCCAGGAGGGTAAGCATGGAGGCTTTTGGCTGTTCCTTCTCTGTTACAGGTCAGGATTCCTGTTACCTACACCTCTTGCTGCAGGTTAAATTGACTGAACTCATTCTCAGGTTTCACTGCGGAACAGCATTCAACCATTCTGGCCTTGCCACAACCAACTCATCCCCAGTGTGGCTGCATAGTACACACATGAGGAATCCGTTTGTTAAAAGGATCTCTCTTCTCAAGTTAAAAGGCTGTTTCTTGTACTCGGCAGTTGAAGTAAGGAAATAGGTCTGTACTGAATGGAGGTGGCATCCAGTGGAGAACTTTGGCTATAGAAATCATTTGCCTTGGGGCTGGGAAGGTGGCTCAGTGGTAGAGCCCTTGCCTTGCATGCCTGAGGCCCTGGGTTGGATTCCTCAGGACCACAAAAAGAAAAAAGAAAAGCAAAAAGGAAAAAGCTGGAAGTGGCGCCGCTGTGGCTCAAGTGGTAGAGCGCTAGCCTTGAGCTGAAGAGCTGAAGGACAGGGCCCAGGCCGAGTTCAGGCCCCACGACCGGACCCCCCCCCCCCCAAAAAAAAAAAAAAAAAAGAAAGAAAAGAAATCATTTGCCTTCATCTACACTTGGGTCTGAGCCTGGGACTGTCTAGGTTTTGTTTTCTTTTTTTTTAATGTATGTTTGTTTGTCTGGTCCTGGGACTTGAACTCGGGGCCTGGGTGCTGTCCCTGAGTATTTTTGCTCAAGGCTAGCACTCTACCGATTGAGCCATAGCTCCACTTCTGGCTTTTTTGTTTTTTTGTTTTTTGTCAGTCGTGGAGCCTGAACTCTGGGCCTGGGCGCTGTCCCTCAGCTCTTCAGCTGTAGACTAGTGCTCTACCCCTTGAGCCTCAGCCCCACTTCTGGCTTTTTCTACTTATGTGGTGCTGAGGAATCAAACCCACGGCCTCATGCATGCAAGGCAAGCACTCTACCACTGAGCTACCTTCCCAGACCCTACTTCTGGCTTTTTGATGGTTAATTAGAGGTAAGAGTCTCATGGACTTTCCTGGCCAGACTGTCTTTGAACCCCAATCCTCAGTTCTCAGCCTCTTGAGTAGCTAGAATTAAGGTGTGAGCCAACAGTGCCCAGCTTATCCCCTCTTTAAATAGCTGTTAGATATATCTTAAAGGTATGGCCTTAGTTCTTATTTGTATCTCTAAAATAGATCTGACCCTAAGTCATAGAAACTGACAGCTCCTTTCCTTAACCCCTCAGGACCGCAACCTGATCAGTTATGAACAAACACTTACATAAGCATTTGTCAAACATATTTTCACTGGTCAATTGTGTACCAGGTAGTTAGAGTATCATGCATCCCCCTAAAGTTAGGGGCAGAAGCAAGCACAGGGCACAGAGGGAACACAAAGAGGCCATGAGGGAAGGCTTCCCAGAGGAGTTCAGAGGCACTTAAGGAGCTCAGACAAGAAGAAAGAGCATTGTGCTTTTCCTGGAGCTTGGAGTACAGCAACTGCATGAACAGGATTACAGTAGTTCTTGAGGCCACCTTAGAAAACATAGCAATTCCCTAAAACATTTTTTGTGTGTGCTGGTCCTGGGATTTGATCTCATAGCTTGGGCTCTGTCCCTGAGTTTGTGGTGTTTTGTTGTCGTTGTTGTCTCAAGGCTAGTATTCTACCACTTGAGCCACAGCTCCACTTCTAGTTTTTTTGTAGTTCATTGGAGATAAGATTCTCATGGACTTCCCTGCCCTGACTGGCTTTCAATCATGATCCTCAGATCTTAGCCTCCTGAGTAGCTAGAATTACAGATGTGAACCACCAGTCCCCAGCCCCTAAAACATGTTTTTTAAGTAGAAAAACAAAGCAATTATAGTATCTAAACCACTATCCTCTTTCCTATTTATAAGACATTGTATGGGTACTAAGACACACATGAACACATGTAGAACCTAGCTTCTTCTCTATGGGAACTTATAATTTACTTGGACTCAGAGCACACCTTTGGGGCTCTAGACCCCTGCCTCTGGGAGAAGGTAGAAAGGACAGGGCCTCAGTTTTGCACCATGGTAAAGTGGCATGGTGTAATTTTAGGCAGAAAGTCATCTTCCATGCCTCCCATCCTTTAGAGGGATACAAAGAAATGAGAAAGTACACTAAGCTCTAGAGAACAAAGATACTTTATACAGCCAAGATAATTGCTGTTAAAGGAACATCTCCCTCACTCTCTTCTCTTTGTACCTTCCTATTCTTAGTTTGACACATCATCTCCTCAAGAACAGTACTCGTAGCTTCTTATTCAACATAATTACCTTTTCAACTTGATTCTGGGTTTAGAACAAAACTGAGCAAAAGGAGCATGTTTATTGATTTTGAATCAAATCCCAAAGACAGCCTCTATCACAGACCCTGTTCCCAGGGAGAAGACTTCTCCTAAATTAAGGTGAGCACAGTGACTCTCAGTATAAGTCACTTGAGCTGGAAAAATTGCATTTGCTCCTATGGTTCAGTGCTTGATGTTTTCTTCCTCCTTGGTGAGAAGTTAGGATATAGGATCACAGCTAGTGCAGATTGTACATGTCTGAACACATTGGGAGACTAGATGGGGAAAGCTTGGAAGAATACAATTCTTGTCTGCTGAGAGATGTTTGGGGGAGAATAAAAAGGAAGGAAAGACCCTTTTCCTTTGTTCTTTTAGGTCTCAGACCTAGATACTCTGACTTTAGACGGATGAAATGAGGGAAGGGCTAGGAATGTGGCTTAGTGGTAGAGTGCTTCCCTAACATGCCTAAAGCCCTGGGTTTGATTCCTCAGTACCACAAATACAGAAAAAGCAGGAAGTGGCACTGTGGCTCAAGTGGTAGAGTGCTAGCCTTGAGCAAAAGAAGCTCAGGGGCAGTGCCCAGGTCCTGAGTTCAAGTCCCAGGACTGGCAAAAGAAAAAAGAGCCAGGCACCGGTGGCTCATACCTGTAATCCTAGCTACTAAGGAATCTGAGGATCAAGGTTCAAAGCCAACCTGGGCAGGAAAGTCCATGAGACTCTTATCTCCAGTAAACCACCAGAAAATCAGAAGTGGCAATGTGACTTAAATGGTAGAGTGCTAGCCTTGAGCTGAAGAGCTGAGGGATACCGCCCAGGCCGAGAGTTCAAGCCCTATGACTGACAAAAAAGAAAGAAAGAAAAAAAAAGAAAACAGGGAGAGAAGATGAATGACCAAAAAGTGGAAGAGACTGTTCTTGTCCCCCATCACACACACATTTTGCTTGAACTCTACTTCTAAACACATCTGGCCCTGACCTACAAAGGTTTTCAGGGTACAATGTCCCTAATGCTCCTCTTAATTTTCCTTCAGTCCATTCTTTTCCTGAACATATCTGGGAAGTCCTCTAGTGGATTCAGGAAAACACAAAGCTGTTGTGGTTTGTGCTGACACTGGGGCTTGAACTCAGGGTCTCATGCTTTTTTTTTTTTTTTTTTTTGCCAGTCGTGGGGCCTGAACCCTGGTCCTGGGCACTGTCCCTCAGCTCTTTAGCTCAAGGCTAGCGCTCTACCACTTGAGTCACAGTGCCACTTCTGGCTTTTTCTGCTTATGTGGTGCTGAGGAATTGAACTCAGGGCCTCATGCATGCAAGGCAAGCGCTCTACCACTGAGCCACCTTCCCAGCCCTCTCATGCTTTTTTGGCTTTTTCACTCTAGGCTGACTCTCTACCACTACCACTTGAACCACACCTCCATTTCCAGCATTTTTCTGGTTAATTGGAGATAAGAGTGTCTTCAGATTTGTTTGCCCAGGCTGGCTTTAAACCATGATCCTCAGATCTCAGCCTCCTGAGTAGCTAAAATTACAGGTATGAGCCACCAGCACAGAGCTCAAAAGCTACACTTGGTAGGAAGAAGTTCCTGGGTCTAGGTGCATCTCTCCCCTAAAGCCTTTTCCTTCTGATCCTACTACCACCCATAGAGATGCTATTCTGTTGGTTATTAGGGCTACTCTCTGCAGTAGGACTGAAGTCCCAAAGCATAGCTTATTATATTTGTATGAATGGTCTTGAGTCATAAGCCAGAAACCACTGTCTGGAAGAGGTAAGAAAGTTCCTCTTCCTCATGGTGCTCCTCTGTGTTTATAGGAATGTGACTTAGAGACTGCTGCTGTGATCTAGGATCTGAGTGATTTATGAAGAAAACTACCAGGGCTGGGAATGTGGCTTAGAGTAGAGTGCTTGCCTAGTATGTATGAAGCCCTGGGTTCCATTCCTCAGTACCACAGAAACAGAAAAAGCCAGAAGTGGTGCTGTGGCTCAAGTGGTAGAGTGCTAGCCTTGAACAAAAGTAGCTCAGAGACAGGTGCCCAGGCCCTGAGTTCAAGCCCCAGGACTAGCAAAAAAAAAAGAAAAAGAAAAAGAAAGACAGACAGACAGACAAACGAAAAGGAAAACTACCTCAAAGATTTCTCCATCCTAATTTGAAGCTTCTGCTTGGAAGGGAATTCATCCCGAATTTTCTAGGGGCCTCCTGTATCTGCCAGCCCAGCCCTACCCTGCTCCAGAATTCCTCAGAACACATCTGAGGCATGTGCGTGCTGCTGGGCAGTCAGCCTTCCTGCTCTGCTGGGTAAGGGGTGTGTCCAGCTGGCAAATTCCCAAAGACAATATGTGTAGCACATTTCTGACTATCAGGGCATTTGCTGGGAAATGTTATGGGTGCGGAAGCAGGTTGTAGGATGTCCTCTTCAAAGTATAAAGGAATTTCCACCAAGCAGAGGCTCACAGGAAAACAGTAAGATTGCATTGCATTGATGCTGGCTGCTAATACCCTAGTCATGTTTTCGCTGCACCCGGCTCTAGCCATGCTGATTATATTTACTTGTTAATGGCATCATGCCCTTTTACATGTGTCTGTCTGGAATACCCTGCTCTCACTGACCAGCTCCTCACCCTTATTATGACAAATCCCACATGTCCATCAAGTCCCTATCCAAATGTCACTTCCCTTGTGAGGTCTTCCTTGACAGCTGCTACCGCTCTGCTCGAGCCCTCGGCAACCCTTGCAGGCAGCCTCTCTCTGTGTCCTGCAGTACACAGTTTAGGTGTGCTTTACCTCATGCATCATGCGTTTCTCCAAGGTGGCATTAAGATCCTCTGGTTTCTGAAACCCCAATGTTTTGTCAGAATAGCAGGTACTCAGCAGTGGGAGGTAACTGGGCATGGAAGGTAACTGTAGCTTTATTTGTTCTCTGCTTCTGAAGCATGTGGTTTTAGAGAGGAAGTGCTTGGATGTGAAATGAAAAAGGACAATTGTATAGAAGGAAATATAGGGCCTGCTTGGCCAGTCAGAAACTAGGCCCCAGTGCTGATGTGAAATAGCATTCATATCCTGGGCCCTAACAGGATAAAATTTAAGACTTTTCTTATCAGAACAGGGAAAGAGAAACCCAGCAGGAATGGCAGGAGACCCCAGCCTTTGATATCCCTGACATCCAGGAACAAGGTAAGTTGTAGAGGATTCATGCTTATTCTCCTTTAATAACCATCTGGCTCCCTATAATGCTTGGCTGAGCAAAGTGGCACAGCTCTCTGCATTTAGGCACCCTTGGGCAATGTGCCTCGTTCCTGTGTGGGTGAGATACCTTTGGCCATTCTCCAGTCTGGTGCCAATCCTGGAATCACAGAAGCCCCACTCCTACTTCCTTAAGTAGTGAAAGGAGGCAGCATGCCCCTTCCTGTATTTCTGATGGTGAAATTGATGTTCCCATGGTTTCAAAGCATTTCTGAATAAGATGGAAAGTTTTGTAGGAAAATTGAAAGGTCTAGTTTTCCCTTTTCTTTCTTTTTTTTTTTTTTGTTGTTGTTGGTCGTGGGGCTTGAACTCTAGGCCTGGGTGCTGTCCCTGAGCTCTTCAGCTCAAGGCTCTACCACTTGAGTCACAGCACCACTTCCAGTTTTCTGGTGTTTTATTGGAGATAAGAGTCTCACCGCCTTTCCTGCCCAGGCTGTTTTTGAACTGTGATCCTCAGATCTCAGCCTCCTGAGTAGCTACGATTACAGGCGTGAGCCACCAGTGCCCGGTTTTCTTTCTCTCTCTTTTTTCTCTTTCTTTTCTTCTCTCTTTCTCTACCTTCCTTCCTTCCTTTTTTCCTTTCTTTTTTTTGGGGGGGGGTTCGGTTGTGGGGCCTGTACTCTGGGCCTGGGCGCTGTCCCTCAGCTCTTCAGCTCAAGGCCTAGTGATCTACTACTTGAGCCACAGTGCCACTTCCGGCTTTTTTTTTTTTTTTTTTTTGCTTATGTGGTGCTGAGGAATCAAACCCAGGGCTTCAGGCATGCAAGGCAAGCGCTCTACCACTGAGCCACCTTCCCAGCCCTCCTTTTTTCCTTTCTTTCTTCTATGTATGTTAGTCCTTGGACTTGAACTAAGGCCCTAAGCACTATCTCTTAGCTTTGCGCTCAAGGATAATGCCTACTACTTGAGCTACAGCTGGACTTCTGGTGGTGGTTAATTGGAGATAAGAGTCTCACAAGCTGGGCGCTGGTGGCTCATGCTGGTAATCCTAGCTACTCAGGAGGCTGAGATCTGAGGGTTGCGGTTCAAAACCAGCCCAGGCAGGAAAGACCGTGAGACTCCTATCTCCAATAAACCACCAGAAAACCGAAAGTGGCTCTGTAGCTTAAGCGGTAGAGCACTCGCCTTGAGCTGAAGAGCTGAGGGACAGCGCCTAAGCCCAAAGTTCAAGCCCCACGACCAACCAAAAAAAATTCTCACAGACATTATCTGTGGTCTGGTCTTGAATCTTGATCCTCAGATCTCAGCCTCCTGAGTAGGTTTACAGGCATGAACCACTGGCACTAGGCTCAACTTTCTCATCTTTTACCCAGCATGAGGACTCAGTGTGGGCTACAGTTATCACAGAAGTGGAGCTGTGGGTATAGAAGCAGGTTGTAGGGCTGCATGAAAGTGAGTATTTGGACCAGTTGTCATTCCATGTGAAAACATATCAGCTTGCCAGGCACAAGTGGCTAACACCTATAATTCTCGCTACTTAAGAGGCTGAGATCTGGAGGATCATGGTCTGATGCCAACCCTGGCAGAAAAGTCTATAAGACTCCCATCTTCAAAAAAACAAAGATGGGGCTGGGAAGATGGCTCAGTGGTAGAGTGCTTGCCTTGCATGCCTGAGGCCCTGGGTTCGATTCCTTAGCACCACATAGCAAAAAGAAAAAAAGCCAGAGGTGGCGCTGTGGCTCAAGTGGTAGAGTGCTAGCCTTGAGCTGAAGAGCTGAGGGACATCACTGGCAAAAAAAAAAAAAAGATTAGACAAAGAAACAAAGATGGGCTGGGAAGGTGGCCCAGTAGTAGAGTGCTTGCCTTGCATGCATGAGGCCCTAGGTTCTATTCCTTAGCACCACATAAGTAGAAAAAACCAGAAGTGGTGCTGTAGCTCAAGTGGTAGAGCGCTAGCTACCACTCTCTTGAGCTGAAGAACTGAGGGACAGCGCCCCGGCTCAGAGTTCAGGCCCCAACCGACCAAAAAAAAAAGAAAAAAAAAAGAGTTGGGTGTTGGTGGCTCACGCCTGTGATCCTAGTTTCTCAGGAGGCTAAGATCTGAGAATCATGGGTCAAAGCCAGCCTAGGAAGGAAGTCTGTGAGACTCTTATCTCCAACTAAACACCAGAAAATCAGAAGTAGAGCTGTGGCTCAAAGTGGTAGAGTACTAGCCTTGACTAGAAAGAACTCAGGGACAGTGCCCAGGCCCTCAGTTCAAGTCCCACGAATGACCTAAAAAATATCAGGACTAGAAGTGTAGCTCAACTGGTAGAATACCAACCTATCAAGTGTGAAGCTCTGAGGTGTCATACACACACACACACACACACAGCTCTGAGGTGTCATACACACACACACACACACACACACACACACACACACACACAAATAACATACCACCTATAGGCTGGTATTTGAGCTATGTCAATATCTCACGATATTGAAAACTCCAAAGTCAGAATAGAATATTACTGAGCTGAGATGAAATTGGAAAGGTCAGAACAAACAATTCACCTGGCTTTAAATAAACCTTGGTGTGAGGCTGCTCTGCCATCTCTCCTCAGATGAAAGTAGGCCATGACAGGCCCTTTTCCTGCCTGAGTGTTTTCTTTACAGATTCTAAGTGGGGATATGGCCTGCCAGAGCCAAGTGTCCTGTCAGTGCTGCAGAACACCCCTCCTCCACCAAAAAAGCAAGGAACTAGTGGCTTCTTTGGGTTTTTGAGGTAAGACACCCTTCTGCTATTAAGCTAAGAGCTCATCTCCTGAGTCTTGCAGGGAGAGGGAATAAAGAAGAAAGCAGATTACTTGCTGAAGTTTCTTAATTCTGTTGAGATGGATCATGGAAATGAGATGAAAGCAATGGTTCCAGTATGGTTGGGGTTAGATTTTGTTTTGTTTCTGGTTTTTGGTTTTTTTGTTGTTGGGGTTTAGACCTGAGAGCTTCATCCTTGCTAGGTAGGTCCCCTACCATAGGATCCATGCCCCCACTCTTTTTGCTTTAGTGTTTTAGTTATTTCTCAGATAAAGTCTCGTGCTTTTTGCCCAGACCAGCCTGGGACTGTGAACTCCTTCCTGTGCTTCCTGCATTCCTATTGGAACTACAGTGGTGTACCACCAGGAATGATTTGTCCTTTGAGAAAGCCTCACTAACTTTATTGCCCAGATTGACCTCAAACCTCCTTTCTTTGCTTCACAAGTAGCTAGGATTATAGCCCAGCCTTTGAGATACCACACCGAGCCTAATTTTGATTTTAATAAAGATTGTCTTGGCTGAGAATGTGGCACAGTGGTAAGTGCTTGCCTAGCGTGCAAAAAGCCCTGGATTCAATTCCTCACAGAAAAAGCTGGAAGTGGTGCTGTGGCTCAAGTGGTAGAGTTGCCTCGAGCAAAAGAAGCTCAGGGGCAGTGCCCAAGCCCCGAGTTCAAGCACCAGGATGGGGAAAAGAAAAAAAGTGTCTTCCTTTTCTTTTTTCCTTTTTTTTTTTTTTTTTAGTGCTGGTCCTAGGGCTTGAACTCAGACTGGGTAGGTCTATCCCTGAGGTTTTTTTGTTTTGTTTTTTTTTTGGTCAGTCGTGAGGCCTGAACTCTGGGCCTAGGTGCTGTCATTCAGCTCTTCAGCTTAAGGCTAGCGCTCTACCACTTGAGCCACAGCACCACTTCTGGCTTTTTCTGCTTATGTGGTGCTGAGGAATGGAACCCAAGGCCTCATGCACACGAGGCAAGCACTCTACCACTGAGCCACCTTCAGCTCCTCCCTAAGGTTTTTTTGTTGTTGTTTTTGTTTATTGCTCAAGGCTGGGGAACACTTGAGATACAACTCCACTTCTGGCCTTTGGTTTTTAATTAGAGATAAGTGTCTCACAGACTTTCCTGCCTGGCTCCCTTCAAAGTAAGATCCTCAGATCTCACCCAGCCTCCCACATAGGTAGGATTTCAGATGTGAGCCACTGGCTCATTTTTGTGCAATTCATCCCCACTCAGATGTGCCAGTGTGCAGCCTGAGACTATTCCTATTTTACTTGGGTTTTTGATTTGGTTACTGAGGTGCTGTGGCTCAAGTGGCAGAGTGCTATCCTTGAGCAAAAAGAAGCTCAGGGACAGTACCCAGGCCCTGAGTTCAAGTCCCAGGACTGGAAAAAAAAAAAAAAAAGATTTGGTTACTGAAAAGTTTCCATTCTCCCCTCTGAATCCAGGTTGTGTCTCCACAATTCTTTCTGCAGAGGGCAGTGAACATATCCCTCAGTCACGGAGCCCATCCATCCTACCGCAATCCTTTTCCTTTATTTTCCCCTCCTGAGTATAATCTAATTTAGGCACCTTCTCAAATGCTGTTCCAGACTTGAATTTCCATTCATTGGTTCCCCAGAGCAAAATGCCCTGACTAATGAGGTACTAATGGGAAGCAGAGAGGGGAAAGAGATCTCAGTCTCAGCCTATCTATTATTCTCCTTCCTGCAGCACTCTCTTCCCCTTCCGGTATTTCTTCAAGAAGAGCAACCAGTGAGTCTTCTCGATGCCCCACAACAGTGGAAAGGGGGTCTCCTGCCTGAAGCATTCCCTCTCCAACTCCATCCTTTTCCTTTTTTGGTTCTCCTTTTATTTTTGGAGACAGTATTTTGTTGTGCAGCCTATGCTAGCCAGCTGTCAACCCTCCTCCCTCAGCTTCCCAAGTGCTGGGATTACAAGCACGGGCTACCACACCCAGCTTTCATACTTTTCTTGTGACTTCTCTCTTTAGTTACAGAGATTAGGGGCCCATATTAAGTCCTCTTTGTTTTGCTTTAGTTTTGTCTTGTCTAAAACATTAAGGAAGCTGGGAGCTGAGGGCTCACACCACTAATCCTAGTTACTCAGAAGGCTGAGATCTAAAGATTGTGGTTGAAAGCCAGCCCTAACAGGAAAGTCTGTGATACTCTTTATCGCCAGTTAACTACCAGAAAACTGATAGTGGCACTATAGCTCAAAGTGGTAGAGCACTAGCTTTGAGAGGAGAAAAAAAAAAAAAAAACAACTCAGGGACAGGGCCTAGGCCCTGAGTCCAAGCCCCACAACTAGAAAAAAAATTGAGACTTTCTAAAATATTCTAGTCTGAGAATAGCCCTCAGGCAGTGTCTCTAGCACCTTAGGATTCTAACTTCAATAAATTACACTTGAAGTATTATTGATTGTATTTGGTCAAGTAGAAAGTAAGAGAGAACAAACAGAGGAAGCCATGCATAGACCTTCCCCTTGGTCACCTGGCTGCTGGTTCCAGAGTCACACTGGGCAGAGGAGTCTGTACCTGATCCCAGCTTCCTGCCAGGGATTAGGGGAAGACTCACTGTCCTGAGCCCTGCTCCAAAAGATATGACATCTTCCCCAGTTCAGCGTCGCCTCCACAGACAAATGCTCCCAGATGTCTGTCACTCTGGTCTCTGGTGGGTCACACTGTTTATCAGATGAGGAAGCAGGCAGTGCAAGTTAGGGCCCCTGGAACAGTCAAGGCATCCAAGCTGTCTTCAGCCAGAGGCCCGTCTGAGACAGATCTTAGACTTGTGTGCTCCAAGAACCAAAATAATTGAGGGAAACTCACTTTAGCTCAGAACAAAGGAATCACTTTTTAACTATTTGAGATGTCCAGAATTAGAATGGGCTGCCTGTGAGGTAGTGAGCTTTAAACTGCTAATCTCTTGTCACATGCCAGAGGGTTCCTAATGAGTGGGGGAGTGGGGGCAGCCCTGTTGAGCCCTCCTCTACCTTCAGCAGAGAGAGGAGGTGGGTCACTGTGGGAGGGCCTGGAAATTGACTCAGGACCAGTACAGGGAAGGGGATGCCATAGGGTATAGCTATTTGAGGCTTACGAGTGACATGACACCAATTCTTCTTAACTGTATTTACTGTCTTTGCCCTGTTAACCTAAACATGGCCTGCTGAAAAGCACAAGTCAGTCTGGAGGTTTGAGCACCCCACCCACCCTGACTCAGGCCTTGGGAAAACGGTTCTTCTCTGAGCTCATTACTTCATCTGGAAAAATGGGGGTGTGGGAGTGGGTAGATTTGGTGAGCTCCTAGACTGCCTCCTTCTGATCTCTGCTAACTAGGACCTTTTGTTTCTCAATTTACCACATTTTTTTTTCATTTTTATCTTTAAAATACTGGTACCAGAGCTTGAATTCAGATCCTTAGGCTTTTATCTTTTCACTCAGAGCTGGCACTCTACCACTTGAACCATGCCACTATCCTGGCATTTTTCTGGTTAACTGCCAAGTCTCCTAGACATTTCTGTTGGAGCTGGCTTCAAACTGTGATCCTCAAATCTCAGCCTCCTGAGTAGTTAAGATTACAGGTATGTACCACTGGTGCCCAGTGCTTGCCATATCATTGTCTCAAGCATAACTCAGCAGTATGGCTGGACAGTCATATCAGTCTGCTTAATTAGCTGTGATTTTCAGCAACTTTCTCCTCTGAGCCTTAGTAGCCTTGCTTTTAAAACTGGAGTTGGAGGTGGGCACCAGTGGCTCATGCCTGTAATCCTAGCTACTCAGGAGGCTGAGATCTGAGGATCAAGGTTCAAAACCAGCCCGTGCAGGAAAGGCCGTGAAACTGTTATCTCCAATAAACCACCAGAAAACGATAAGTGGTGATGTGGCTCAAGTAGTAGAGCACTAGCCTTGGGTTGAATTGCTGAGGGACAGTGTTCAGGTCCAGAGTTCAAGCCCCATAACCAGCAACAACAACAACAAAAAACTGGAATTAGGAGTTGGACTACATAGATTTGCTGAAGTTGACAGCTTCAGGCTCTTTCAGGAGTCATGTTCCTGCTATTCCAAGGGAACCTGTAGCTCAGAGCCCTTCAGAATGAGCAGACATTCACTGAATACTGGAAGGGAGGCTCTGAATGCACTCAGTGCCCCCGCTGTGCTCTACCACCCAGCACCACTGAGGATCCGCACTGGTGAGATGTCCCTAGATCCTGGCATCCCCTCCCCAGTCAGGAAGGGACCCAGGCCCAACTGAGTCCTTCTAAGGCAGGGTGTGGGCAAGGGCCTGAGCCAGGAAGTGACTGCCCAAGGTCACAAGAACAGCAGAACCCAGGTGTCTAGACAGCAGCCTCTCACCCCCTCAGCAGCTCAGGCTGTCTTCCACCTCGCCTCTGCAGCCCCACAGCTGCAGCCTGTGGAGCAGAGGAAGGAATAAGCAGCAGAGGCCACTCTCTGAGGACGGCACCTCAGAGCACAGCTCCCAGGGGCCTCAGGCTGGGAGGCGCCTGGGAGCTGGATCTCCTCTTTGGGAGGGCGTGGCACCAGAACCTGCAAATATAAGAGTGGAGAGCAGCAGGCACAGACACCTACAGGAGGCACTGGAGGCCTGTGAGCTGCCTGCGCTGTTCCCGCCAGGCTGGGGAGTACTGGTGAGCTCTGGGGGACAGGGTGAAGGGAAACTGGATGGGGGTGTTATGGTGAGGGGTGGGGGGAAATATGGGTCCAGGTCCTGGAGGCTGAGCTGGGGCATGAGGGAGGAAGATGCTTATGACCCCAAGGCTAAGGTAATTCCAGGAGAGAATCTGGCTGATGCACAAGTCCTATCCAGAGAGGGCTGGCACACTCATCCAGTGACCCAGGCAGGTGACATACACACGCCCTTGCTAGCACACACTCCCTCAATGGTAGACACTCCTCACCTCTCAGAAAGAGCAGCTCAGCCCTCTCACGGGAGGCAGTTGGTGTCTAACTGCACCCGACACCCGCAGCCCCATGAAGACCCCACCTAGTATTTCTACAGTGCAGAGGCCCATGGCATCCCTCCCAGCCCTGCTCCTCAGCCTGCTGGTCCTGGTTGTCTCTGAAGGCCAGGGTCAGGAGACAGCCATCCCAGGCTGCTACCTGCACTGTGAGTAACGTGGGGGCCTGCCGGAGGGCTGGGGAGGGAGGACCTCTGGGTGGGCACAGAGCTGGCGGACTGGATTGCAGGCAGGCTACACCCTGCAGGGACCCACCAGGAGGCTCAGACAACAGGGCATGCCTTTACAGCCCATTTGCCTCTCTGCTTCCAGCCTTCAACGTGACCATGCGAAGCGACCGCCAAGGCACCTGCCAGGGCTCCCATGTGGCCCAGGCCTGTGTGGGCCACTGCGAGTCCAGCGCGTTCCCTTCCCGGTACTCTGTGCTGGTGGCCAGCAGCTATCAACACAACATCACCTCCGTCTCTCAGTGCTGTACCATCAGCGGCCTAGAGAAGGTAAGGGGCCTGAGCCAGGGGTGCTGGGGTGGACAGGAGGAGGCCGGGAATGGGATGAGTGTGGGTCCCCTCGCCTACAGGTGAAGGTGCAGCTGAGATGTGCGGGAAACCGCCAGGGAGAACTGGAGATCTTCACGGCCAGGGCTTGCCAGTGTGACATGTGTCGCCTGTCCCGCTACTAGCCGCTGGGCCTCGTGGCCATGGCATCCTTTTAACCAGGGGTCACAGCTGCTGTTTGGAATGGTCACCTCATGAGGAGTTCTGCCTTCTCTTTGTTTCTGCCTGGCTTCCACCCAGTTTGTGTCCCATCACTCCATGTCCTCCTGGGCCCCTCAATAAAGCAACCAGCTCTCAAGTCTCTCTTTATTAAGTCTGTCCCCCAACCAGAGGAGGGAGATAGACCATGATTCCTGTGACCCCTGACCCTAGGACATTGTCCACCTCTTCTTGCCTGTGCCCTCACCCCTCCCCCTGCCCAATAAATAAAAAGGGGATAAGGAAGTTCAGGGCAAGGGAGAGGAGGGAAGGAGGTGCCCCAGGGCCAGGACAGTGTCTTGCTGAGGGTGAGCGGGGCAGAATAAATAGACCATGGGCCCCACAGTAGGGGTGAGGAAGGACCTGGCTTCAGTCCCAGGCAGGGGCAGGCCAGGTCCTGAGGACCCTTGCTCCAGCAGGGACCGGGGTGGGATCCTGCCTGCAGAGCCCAGTGCTGCAGGCTGGGAAAGAGTGCTGATGGCTTCCCAGTCAAGCCGCCCTGCTTAAGTCTTGCCACAGGGCCTGCAAGGTCCGCTGCCGAGACCACCATCTTGCCTTCTCGTCTCCCCCAATGAAAGCTGCCCACGCGGGCCGGCAGGGCGTCCTCAGAGCCATTCTGGCAAGGCCAGGGGGAGGCAGGTGTCCCTCTGGACCCTGGCCAGGAGATGGAATAGAGGGACTGATGGCTCTGGGCTTTGCTTCTCCCCTTCCGGGGGGCTCTCTAGCTCTGACCCCCACTGGTGGCCACCTGGGGTGCTAGCCGTGGGAGGGAGGCATCCCTGGCTTCCTGGGTCCCCTGTAGCCGGCGTAGCCGCAGCTCCTCCAAGCCTTGCCATAGCTCTTGGCGCTCCCGGGCCTTCTGCTGCTCCCTGGGGAGAGAAGGCGAGGCAGTTCCTCTCCCTGGGGTCTCCACCAGCCCACCTGCCCTCGCCCAACCCTGCTGCAAAGGGGAGCCACTTCATGTGGCTCAGTGAGGGCTGCTAAGGTTAAAAGCTGGGAGGCATGAGAAGATGAGCTGTCTGCGAGGGGACACAGCTGCAGAGGGAAACTGCAGGTCAGCGCCAGACAGGCTCCCGGGAAGAAGGCCAGAGGATGTGGTGGGTAGTTAGGAATAGGACAGCTGGCACTTGAGGGGGGACTGGACCTCTGACCACAGAGTTGGGGTGTCCTTCTATATTCCCTCCTGCCCACTTGTCCCTCCTCTGACACCCAGCCCCAGTGCTCACTGCTGCTTCTCCAGCTTGTAGGAGGCCGTGAGCTCATCGAACAGTTTCCCATTCATCTCCATGAAGGTCTTGAGCACATTGTAAATCAGAGACACGATGGTTCTTCGCATAGTCAAGGTGAGGAGTGAGAAGATATGTTAAATGTCAATGTAACCTCAACTCCCTCTCTGGCGGTCTGTCTATCCCCATCCCCAAACACCACAGCGCTGCCCACTTCCCTGTCCTCTACTATCCCTTGCCATTCTGCCCCTGGCTCTAATGCTGTCCAGCTAAGAGGTCCAGAGGCTGGGTTGGTCCTGGTTTCTATGGGTTAGGGCAAGGCCTGGGTACTCACTGATTCCAGTGCTCCTTGGAGACTTGATAGAGGGTCCCAAACACAGCAGGCAGCACAGTGTGGCAGTTGTCCTCAATGAGGCTCAGGATGTACTCGTTATTCCAGAAATACAGAGCCCGCTCTGCAACCTGGACAGGCAAGATGGTAGAGTGGGCCTGGCAGGCTTGGGTATATGCAAGCCTTCCCCAAACCCAGGCCTCATTCATCCCATCCTGAGGGCTTATGCTACCCACTAGAGGAAAATATGGGAAAAGAGCAGAGTCCTGAGATTGGAGTCCAACACTTTAGCAAATCCTAATTCTACTACAGCTTCCACTATACTGAGGTGAGGCATTCAGCTTCTCAGCCTCATTTGTCAGATCTGTAAAATGGAACTAATAATAGGCACCTCCACCAGGCTGTTGGAATAAAATGAGCTACTGGACTTTGAAGTATTTAATAAAATTTAGTACTAGCAAGGTGCTGGTGGCTCACATTTGTAATCCTAGCTACTCAGTAGGCTGAGGTCTGAGGATCCCAGTTTGAAGCCAGCCTAGGCAGATAAACACATGACTCCAATTAACTAGCCCAAAGCAGAACTAGAAGTGTGTCTCAAGTGGTAGCGTGCCAACCTTGAACAAAGAAAACTAAGCAAGAGAGCAAGATCCTGAGTTCAAGCCCTAATAATGGCACGCACGTGCGCACATGCATACACACACAACACACACACACACAGATTACCAGAATCCCTCCAAAACTACTTCCATTGCTTTATGCTTATAACAGGAGAGTGACCACATGCGTGAGTTACAGCTGCTGAGATGGTGTGGGGAAGCCACACCAAATCCTCACACAGGGCTAAGGAGATCTATGGCCACTAAGAAAACCATTTACCATACATGTTAACAGTCATGAATTTTGGTCCCCATCACTATTCTGTGAAGAGACTGCTCTTGGCACATTTCACAGATAAAGAAACCACTATGGAGTGGTGAAGTGGTTTGTCTAAGGACCCCAGCCAGTAAAACGCAGACCTGAAGCTTTACCCTAGGGCTTCTGACCCTAAGTCAAGCATCTCCCCAATACCAAACCCAGCGCTCTATGGAGAAGAAATGGGGAGAGGAAGCTATGCTTCGTAGACTGGGCAATCCTTCACAGACTATTCCTTTTCCCACTCATTGCTACCTGTCCCTCCCTATACCTGGAAATGGGGACTGGAGACACAGCGAGCCACCTGCTTGAAGAGGGGCTCCTGGATCTTCACAAACTGAGAGGGCTCAATGACATCCAAAATCTCTTCCATCTCGCCCAGGAACATCACCTGCAGGAGGGGTGGAGGCAGTGGCTCACATTCCCCCTCCCCCTCCCAGCAACACACACCTGCCTTCTGGAACTGAGCCCTCCCAGCCTCCCTCCTTGGGGTGTCAGAACCCCCTCCATACCTCCTTCTGGGTGCAGGTTTTGGGCCAATATTTGAGCAGTCCCCGGATCACCTGTGGAGTTGAGGCACAAGAATCTTGTCAGGCCTGCACAGTGCGGGGCCCACCTTTTTCCCCCTCCTCCCCCCCGACACTCACATGCTCTGTCAGGGTGGCATCCTTCTCCAGGAACTGTACCACACAGTATGCCAGCTGCAGGGGGGGCAGGGTGGAGAGAAGGAGGACAGGGTCAGGAGGGGCCAGGGGTACCTTGTTCACTGAGCACTTAGTGCACACAGGAACACCATGCTCCAGATGCTTGGGACCACGAAGCAGCACGTTTAACCCTTATCAATTTTACACACAGACTTCTGCATCCTAATCTCTGAGACCATCCAGAAGGAGGCAAGAAGCACCCTGAAGGTGGGCAGGCAGAGAGGGAAGGGTTGAGGAGGGCAGCACAGCACTCATGTATGAAGTCAGCCTTAAAGGGCCAGCAGGAAATCCAAAGTAGAGTGGACTGAAATTAGTAGGCATGAAGGTGGAACAGAATCCCTTGAGTGTGGGGCTGACATCCTGGCCCCACTGGCACCCCACATTCCCCCACTCCGCTGTGGCAGGGCTATGCCTGGGCCTTACCTGGGCATGAAAGACAGACAGCGACTTGACGGAATGCAAGGGGATGAGGACACGAACCAGGAACTGCTTGTGCTCAGTCTTCAGGGGCAATGCAAAGCCATTGATGATGCTTGAGAGGGAGCAGAAGAGAGGAGCAGGGCTCAGCCACCGAGCCCCAGCCTCCCTTCTCCCCCCAACTCTCAGCGCCAGCTGAGGCCAGAATGAGTCACCTTCCTAAGATCTCCAGTAGCTCAGCCACACCATTGAAGTGCTCCAGCTCGTAGATGAACCTGCAAGATGAAGAGAAGAATGTGGGGGAAGCTCAGAGCAGCATGGTTAGCCCCACATCCCATTAGCCATCCAGCCTGCCACCCTCACTTAACCTGCACACACACATACCAGTGCTCCAACCAGGCTGGACTCCTTTCTCTGGTTCTCAAATACGCCTACCTGAGAAACACCCTTGCCAGCCCAGCCACCACTGCTGCTCTGACTACTGGCTTAGCCTTTTTTTTTTCCTGTCAATCATGGGACTTAAACTCTGGGCTTGAACGCTGTCCCTGAGCTCTTTAGCTCAAGGTGAGCACTCTACCACTTAAGCCCAGCACCACTTCCAGTTTTCTGGGGTTAATTGGAGATAAGAGTCTCACAGGCTTTCCTGCCTGGGCTGGCTTTGAACCATGATCCTCAGATCTCAGCCTCCTCAGTAGCTAGGATTACAGGCGTGAGCCACCGGTACCTGACTTAGCCTTTCTCCTCTAAGGCACTCCAGCTCCTCTCTTCCTCCCAGACCTGGCACTTCTTACCTGAGGCCCAGCAGGCACCTAACCTACAAAAATTTCTCTCTCATGCAGTCTACCAAAGCAATGACAAAGACTTCATCTGCTCTGTACCCTGTAATTCTGAGATCTGCCCTGGGAGGCAGAGCGTATTGAAGCCATTACACAGATGCAAAAGTCAAGACTCAGTGCTTAAAGGCCTCACGCCCAAAGTTAATAAGTGGGGAAGCTAGTGAGGGGCGGAGCTCCTGGAGGCCACCATCATGTCTTCTTGACTTTGCGGCTAATCACAGGTGCTTTGAAGGTACCACTTCACTTCACCTGAAGCATAATCCCTAGGTTAATTCAGGCAGCACCCTATTTCAAAGAGAGGAAACTGGGCTGGGAAGGTGGCTCAGTGGTAGAGTGCTTGCCTTGCATGCATGAGGCCCTGGGTTCCATTCCTCAGCACCACATAAGCAAAAAGAAAAAAGCCGGAAGTGGCGCTGTGACTCAAGTGGTAGAGCGCTAGCCTCGAGCTGAAGAGCTGAGGGAGAGCGCCCAGGCCCAGAGTTCAGGCCCCACGACCAGACCCCCCCCCCCCCCCAAAAAAAAAATAGAGGAAACTAGCAGAGCACTTAAGCCATTTCTTCAAGTCCACTCAAGTACTGGAACCAAACTCAAATACAGGATGGCCAACTCCACAACCATGATCTCTAAAACGAGTCCACTGCTGGGCACCAATAGCCCATGCTTATAATCCTAGCTACTCAGGAAGCTGAGTCTGTGAGACTCCTTATCTCCAATTAACCATCCAAAAAAAAAAAAAAAAAGCCGGAAGTGCAGCTGTGGCTCAAGTGGTAAAACCTGAGCTTTGAGCAAAAAAGCTAAGGAACAGGGCCCAGGCCTTGCATTCAAGCCTCAATACTGGCATGAGGGAGATAGAGAAAACAAAAGGTCATGTAAGCTCCCGTCAGCCAGTGGGGGTGTGGTGCTCAGTATACGTTTGCAGAAAGAGTATCTCTTTGGGTCCTTACATGACAGCATCATAAGGATCAAATTTCCATCCTTGGCTTCCCTAGACTGGCCTAGTGCCTGTAAACTACTCTCTTAGCCTCTATTTTGTCATCTGTCAAATGGAAATAAATACTAATTTTCTGCTGACTGCATATGCTCGCATTGTATAATCAATATTGCTATGGAATGAGAACTTGGTAAATACCCCATACAGTCCTGGAGTCTAACATCTCAACACTATCTTCCTTCCTTTCCTCCCTCCCTCCCTCCTTCCTTCCCTTCTCCCTTCTCCCCTTCCTTCCCCCTCCCTCCCTCCCTCCCTCCCTCCCTCCTTCCCTTCTCCCTTCTCCCCTTCCTTCCCCTCCACCTCCTCTTTTCTTCCTTTTCCCTCTCCTCTCCCCAGAGGTAGCCACTCACCGGAGGAAGATGTGGTTACACTGTTTGCGGATGTAGGCTCGGAGACCCAGGAACTTGCCATAGACCCGATGTAAGATGGTCTTGAGGTACTCACGTTCTCGGGGGTCTTCACTATCAAACAGCTCCAAGAGCTGTGGGAGTTGAGGGGGGCTCCAGTAAAAGGTCAACCCCTAATCATTCCCATTCTACGCCATGCCCCTACCTACAGTACCACCCAGCCTGGGCTCCCCACATCACCATCAAGACAAACTTTTGATCCACATATCTCTTGGCCACAGAAGGCTGGAAGTCTGGGCTCTCCAGGAAACGCAGGAAAAATTCATATACCAACTAGAAAATGCAGACAGACAAAAAAAACGAGTTCAGTCACAGCCTCACCCAGTTGCCCCACCCTTGGGCCCTCATGCAAGACAACACCCACCCACCCCCATCCAAGGTCCTCAGACCACCTGGAAGTGCAGACCCCTACTACTTTCCCCAAGCCCTTCACACCTGCAGATGTGGCCAAGAAGGCTCAAGGTTGGGCTCATCCTCTTCAGGGTCAAATTCAGGGTTCTCACTGGGTGGCAGGGTCCGGAAGATATTCACTGAGATCTGGAAGGGTGGGGGAAGGCAAAGTCAAGGTTCTTTAAGATGAAGGCAGGCCAGGCGCTGGTGGCTCACGCCTGTAATCCTAGCTACTCAGGAGGCTGAGATCTGAGGATCGCGGTTCAAAGCCAGCCCGGGCAGGAGAGACCGTGAGACTCCTATCTCCAATAAACCACCAGAAAACCGGAAGTGGCGCTGTAGCTCAAGTGGTAGAGCGCTCGCCTTGAGCTGAAGAGCTGAGGGACAGCGCCCAGGCCCAGAGTTCAAGCCCCACGACCGGACCCAAAAAAAAAAAAAAAAAAAAGATGAAGGCAGAAGTCAAAGGATCTCTAGTACAACATTCTAGCAGGTCACCTTCTGCTCCAGCAAGCACTTTAGAACTTGGACAATCATAACGAAAACCTAGTTCAAAAGTAAGTCTTAGGTCAGAAGCGAGGAATCTAAGGGCAGATAGAATATAACTCTAGATAGGGACCCAGAGGAGATGTAAGGTCAAAAATAAAGGGTAGGGCTGAGAAGGTGGCTCAGTGGTAGAGCGCTTGCCTTGCATGCATGAGGCCCTGGGTTCAATTCCTCAGCACCACATAAGCAGAAAAAAAAAAAAAGCTGGAAGTGGTGCTGTGGCTCAAGTGGTAGAGTGCTAGCCTTGAGCTGAAGAGCTGAGGGACAGCGCCCAGGCCCAGAGTTCAGGCCCACGACCCGACCAAAAAAAAAAAAGCGAAGGGTAGAGCCGGGTGCTGCTGGTTCACACCTATAATCCTAGCTACTTAGGAGGCTGAGATTGAGGATCTCAGTTCAAAGCCAGCCTAGGCAAGAAAGTCCATGAGACTCTTATCTCCAATAAACCATTAGAAAACTAGAAGTGGTGCTGTGGCTCAAGCAGTAGAGCACTCGCCTGGAGCTGAAGAGCTCAGGGACAGCACCCAGGCCCAGAGTTCAAGCCTCACTACTGACAAAAAAAAAAAAAAGAGGAAAGTGTTCACAGGCATTATGGGTAAGAAAGGGGAAATGTATGGCTCAGACATTATTGGAGAGGCAATCCTGAGTCAGTCCAAGGAAGGCAAGCTGCCCAGGAGAAAAGCACCCACCCCCCTCAGCTCCAACAAGGAAAGGTGCAGATGTAGACTGAAGAGGAAGTCCCAAGTGGGTGCTGGACAGCAATAGGACTCAGTGGAGATGGAAGACGTGGATCTTGAGACTAAACTGAAGAGTGTCAGGTTTATTCTCTGTGCAGGGATTTTTAGGAGGGTCAGTAGGGTTTGTGTGCTGGGTCCAGTGCTCACCATGCGGATGATGTCCGGGTAGACAGGCTCAATGAGGACGCCCCGGGTGCTCCCCACACATTCCACTAGCTCGTTAAGGGCCGCCCGCTTCACCTCTTTCCCCTTTAGGTCAGCCACACAGTCCAAGAAGTCAAACATCACCCCACACTGGGCCAGTTTCCGGCTTAGCAGGTCATGCAGCTCAGAGGCTGGCACATCTGGGGAGAGATGGGGGCCATACTACCAGAGCTCTGAGTACAGGTGGTCCTCCCTCATCCCCACAGCTGGCTTTCTAAGCAGTCTCTGCTGCCCCCAGGCCCTAGGATGTAGTTTAGAGAGCAAACATCTCCTGGTCCCCCAGGTTAGATAGCTGAAGGTTATATAGCTTCACCTCTCTCCTAATTCATGCTCAGAGACTTTGTGATTTTTAAAGCAAGAACAAAATCCTTGATGTACAAGCAGGGTTGTATATTTCTGAAAGAGACAATGCCTCCTTTTCCTAGATGGCGCCCCAGTCTACCAGCAAGAAGTAGAGAAGTCGTCAGGGGTGAGGGTAGAGGCTATGTGGTGATGACAGGGAGCCGTGCCAAGCACCTGCTCCAGAAGCCAGGCAGCTGGTTGAGCTGATAGTGGCCGCCTGGAAGCCAAGCTGTGGGCCCCACCCTTGGCCCTAGCCTGCCCCCCAGGGTGGCGCCACTTCCTGATGCCCCACCTCCAGGCCAGTCAGACCATGCGTCAGCAGAGGGTTGGAGGGCTGGGGTCAGTTCTGACCGAGTCCCTCACCAGGGAGGACAAGCTGCCAGCTATATCTCACCCCTTCCCACCACCCCTCTCCAATGCTGGTTCCCCCTCCAGGGCTCAGGAACCCTGGAAGCCAGCAGCAGCTCCCAGCTCACCTTTGAGCAGGGGCAGTGGCGTGAGCTCTTGCTGGTTGCTCTGATAGCGGAACTGAGAGGAGCTGTGGGAACGCCTGGGCCTGGCCCTGCGCAGGGACCTGCGGGAGAAGCCATCCACCTTGTCAGGTGGTGGCACAGGAGACAGTCCTGGGGAGGATGGGCTGGTAGGGGTGCTTGCAGGGGGCAGCTTGGTCTCCATGGTGGGCAGGCAGCAGGTCAGGTCTTCAGAGCTCCTGGGGCTCCTGAAGGAGGCTGGATGAGGCTGAGCAAACTAACTGGGGCCCATCCTGCCAGGTTTGGGGGGGGGGGCACAACCACAGTTCTGGCCCCCCCCCCAGGGCCTTTGGCAATTGCCCAGTCCTGGGGGGCAGGCAGGGAGAAAGGCGATGGCTCAGGCCTTAGGTCCTTCCTTGGGGGTCCAGAACAGTCCAGTTAGGGATCCCAAGCTGGCTCTTCTGAGAAGGCAGGGCAGAAAGGTCAGCAAGAGAGAGACAGAGAGACAGAGACAGAGAGCCCGTCAGTTCTTTCAAAGACAGACTGGGTGATGCAGCTGGGAGCTAGGGTCTTCTTTTTCTCTCCCACCCTTGCACAGACCCCAAAACAGGGTGCAGTCCCTCCCATCATGGACTTGTCCTCCCAGGATCTAAAATAACCCCTCCCCAAATACGGCCTATCACCCAAGCCAGCATCTCTTCAGAAAGACCACAGTCCTCATCCCGGGCCCTTTACAAGCCGTCTTGGTCCACTAATGCCAGCCACAGCGGACTCACGCAAAAATGGGGGGGAAGGGGGGACCCTGTCCCTGTGCCACCCCATCCTAGACCCCAGCATCCGCTCCAACCCCAGTTCCTTCAGAGTCCACAAATCTCATGCGGGGAGGCGGGCGGGAGGAAGGGGGGGGGGGGGACACTCACTTCTCAGAACCCCGCACTTTGGTCGCCGACCCCCGAGGGGGGGCTGCCTGCGAGGAGGGGGCGTCGGATCGGCCGCTCGGGGCGCTAGGGCTGGGCGGCGGCGCTCCGGGGTTCTCTCCTGGGCTCCGGGGGGGCTGGAGCATGCCCCAGCTCAGCCCCGGGGCGGGGGGACCGGGACCTCGGCCGGCTCCGAGCCGGCCCCGGCAGCGCGCGGCCCTGGGCTGGCGTCGGGGGACTGGGTTCGGCGCGGTGCGGCGCGGCGCAGCAGGAGCCCGGCTCGGTGCGCACCGGCACCCGCCGCCCAGATGCTCGGGATGACATCAAGCCACCTCCCCCCCGCCTGGCCCGCCCCGCCCCGCACCTCCCGGCGGGGGGGAGCTGCGTCAGGACGGCCCGGGGGCCGCTGGGAAATGTAGTCCCGGCCCGGCTTAAAGGGAGAGACTTGTCCGCCGGGGTAACCCCCCCGAGAGCGAACTCCAGACCCTGGGGTAGAGGCTGAGACTTCCCAAGCCTGAGAGCGGGGTGGGGTGCGCTCCAGCTGGGGGCTGGAGCCCCAGATTCTGGAAAGGGTGACTGAGCAAGAAAAGAGGAAGACGCTGGAGTCTGCACCAGGAACGGAGGCGGGGGGGGGGGGGGGGGGGGCGGGGAGTACGCCAGGATCCTGGCAGGAAAGAGGCCCAGCACGCTATGCCCGGCGCATGGCTTTGGCCTGGGCCATCTATGTCCCGACCATCCCTTTGGGAACACTTCCCTCACCCCAGAATGGCTGGACGCCTCCAAAATCCCTTGAAAACTGGCGCTGGACTGGTTAATAGTCCGGCACGGGCGAGTCGGAGACCTCGGTGAGGGGTGTGGGTCACCAGAGGATGCTGGGAAATGTAGTCCATCCTCAGACCTGCAGTCCCCCTCCCATCTCGTGCTGTCTTCGGTGACATCATGGTCTATGGTTTAAAGGGCCAGACCTGGGGCGGCAGAGCACGAGAGCAGGTGTTCCCCTGGACCTTCCCACTCCCACGCAGCTGGGCCCCCTGACCGTTCAGACCCCGACATGTGCCAGAGGAGGAGATCTTGATTTAAAAACAAAACCAAAACCAAAAACCAAAACAAGAAACCTCTACTAATGTATCCAAGACTGACACTCAGCAGGGATTCAGGAGTTTGGCAATCTGACCCAAAGTCTCCAGCTGCCATCCTGAGTCCCCTTCCCAGAACCCTAGGCTCTGACACATTTTATTCTGCTCAACTGCTGTGAAATCTCCACCCTGAAGTTTTGCCTGGCTGAATGCTGGTCTATACTGAGCAGAAGGGGAAGGTAATGAACCTAGACAGTGAGGTCAGAGAGGGCCCTGGGACCCTTTTCAGAATCTGCTCCACCCTGTTCTGGGCCCTGGAGCCCTTATGAGAAGAGACATGGGTATCCAGGAGGTATTTATTGGCCATTTGAAGCAACAGAAAGCCAAGAGGCTGCAGTTTCCCCAAGCTGGGATCCAAGACTGGTTCATAGGAGAGCCAGCCAGTGTTCCCCCACCCCATCCCACCCCACCCGACCAAGTGAGATCTTTAACTCTCCTCCCTGCTTGCCCACCTCCTCAGCTCAGGAGGTGAAACCTCTTCCACACCCCTAAACACCAAACTGGGGAGCACAGACCCACAGGAGCCATGTCTTGCCCTAGATGACACACTTTATCAAGAAACCAGCTAGATCCAGTCCTCCACACAGATTACCACCACCACCACCTCCCCTACACACACACTACCCCACACCCCTACCTCCCCTGGTCTGGGCTGGTGATGTGGAATTGAATACATTGCATGAGGACTGAAAAGCAGAGGAGAGACCAGAGACTGGTGAGATAAATGACTCCCTCCCCTATCCACAGGGGGCTGGGAATGGAACTGAGTCGGGATAGATTAGAACCATGGGTTTCACACAGGGTAGGAAAGCCTTATATCTCATATCTCTGAAATCTCACTTAGCCCCAGATGTTGCATTTGATCTGATGTCATCTAGGAAGGACACAGCTATTGAAAGTTTTTTTTTCTTTTTTTAATATCTTTATTGAGACATAGACATACCTTAAAATTAATCTATTTTGGGGCTGGTTTTGTTGGTGGTTGTTTTTTTTTGTGGGGGGGCAAGGGCAGTCCTAGGGCTTGAACTCAGACATGGGCACTGTTCCTGAGCTGCTGCTTTTTTTTTTTTTTTTCGGTCGTGGGACTTGAAGTCTGGGCCTGGGCCTGGGCTCTTCAGCTCAAGGCTAGCACGCTACCACTAAAGCTTTCTGGTGGTCATTTGGAGACACTCAGGAGCTTTCCTGCCCGGGCTAGCTTTGAACCATGATTCGCATATCTCAGCTTTGTGAGTAGCTAGGATTACAAGCATGCAACACCAGCGTCCAGTCCAACCGGTTTTTAGTATGCTTCTGGAACACATTTCTGGGTTCAGTTGTGCTCAGGTCCCAATGTAGCCCTGACTGCCTCTCAGCTATCCTCGAGAAGCATCTGTGGCTCCCAATACCATTTTCCCTCCTGAGAGACTTTTGTCCCCTTTGCTCTGTCATTATTTGGTATCCACTTGTTCCTTTCCTACTCTGGCCTGAGCTCAGTTGTGGATGATGGTCTGCCCTTGGATTTCTATGGAACTTGCAGCCAGTCATCTGGAGAAAGTGTTTTGGGCTCTATTTGTGCTGTGCAATACTCCGCTGTGGGGTACATGGGATTCAGGTGTGCACACACAGGTACCAACTGCTGAGAAATAGATGTGGCCAATGAGGTTAGAAGCAGAGAAAGGTGTGAACGCACCCTGAAAGGAAGCAGTCATATTGAGGAACACTAGAGGCTGAGATACAAAGATCAAGCCGGGGCCCCCCATCTTTGTACCCTCTTCCCACAACAGGGGAATGGGGACCCCCTTGTAAATGGGGCATTTCCTCCACTCCTCTTGGAAAGAAGTGGAGCTTGTTCCTCATGTACTTGGGCACATAGCTTCAGTTTCCTCTCCCATAACATGGAGCTATTAATGTCTCCTTAGCCAGGTGTTGGTTGCTCATACCTGTAATTCTAGTGACTCAGGAGGCTAAGATCTGAGGATCAAAGTTCGAAGCCAGCCTGTGCAGAAAAGTCCTAAGGACCCATCTCCAATTAACAGCAAAAGCTGCAAGTGGGCTGGGTGCCAGTGGCTCTCGCCTGTAATCCTAGCTACTCAGGAGGCTGAGATCTGAGGATCATGGTCAAGATCAGCTAGGGCAGGAAAGTCCATGAGATTCTTTTTTTTTTGGGGGGGGGGGGGTCCGGTCGTGGGGCCTAAACTCTGGGCCTGGGCGCTGTCCCTCAGCTCTTCAGCTCAAGGCTAGCACTCTACCACTTGAGCCACAGCGCCACTTCTGGCTTTTTTCTTTTTGCTTATGTGGTGCTGAGGAATGGAACCCAGGGCCTCATGCATGCAAGGCAAGCGTTCTACCACTGAGCCACCTTTCCAGCCCGTCCATGAGATTCTTATCTCCAATAAACCACCAGAAAACTGGATGTGGCGCTCTGGCTCAAGTGGTTTAGAGCGCTCACCTGGAGCTGAAGAGCTAAGGGACAGGGCCCAGGCCCAGAGTTCAAACCCCAGGACTGACCAAGAAAAAAAATGAAATAATGTTCACAAAGTAACAAGCTTTGGATTTAGGACATCAAATGAGCTCAAATAGTTATTATTTTGTTTTATTTTTAGGACAGGGTCTTCCTGTGTAGCCTTGGTTGTTAGCCTTGGGCTTTGGACCTTCCCAGATTCCAGGATTACAACTGTGTGTCACTACACTCAGCTCTATTATTGGTAATACATAACTAATGAGCACAGCTATACCCCTGCCCTGCCAAAGACAGGCAGATATCTTTTTTCTTTTGGTCAGTTGTGGGGCCTGAACTCTGGGCCTGGGCACTGTCCCTGAGCTCTTCTTTTCAAGGCTAGCTAGTGTTGTACCCTTTGAGCCACAGTGCCACTTCTGTTTTTCTGAAGGTAAATTGGAGATGAGTCTCACAGACTTTCCTGCCTGGGCAGCCTTGAGCAGCAATCCTCAGATCTCAGCCTCCTGAGTAGCTAGGAGCACAGGCATATCTCTTGATTCATCCCACAAGCATTTTCTGACCAGCCTTAGTACCAGCCTACCTTCCTGAAGATTCCTCCATTTGGGGTGGGGGTGTGGGGACTATTTCCTTAGTCCCTACCAAGTAAAAAGAGCTGGCTTTCTATCTTATTCTGAGCATGCGAGAATAAACAAGAGTTTAGGGAGGAGCAGTGAGTTGCCCAAAGCCACCTAGAGTCACAAGAATCCAGGTCTCTGTCCCCAGGGCCAAGATGGACATTTCACTGACTTTTGGCATTAGACTGAAATATGGTAAAAACTAAATTAGAATCATAATTACTCATGAATGTCCTTTAAACCACCTGTACAGAGCAGAGGGAAGGATTTATTTTATTTATTTTTTTTGAGTGTGTGTGTCCTATTGGGGCTTGAACTCCAGGCTTCAGAGCTATCCCTGGACTTTTTTGTTTAAGCCCAGTGCTCTACCACTTGAGCCACAGCCCTACTTCCAGCTTTCTGTGTTGGCTAATTGGAGATAAGAGTCCCATGGGCTTTCTTGCCTAGCTGGCTTTGAACTGGGATCCTTAGATCTCAGCCTCCTGAGTAGCTACAATAACAGACATGAGCCACGGGCACCCAGCCCAAACTGTCTAGAAAGGACTTGAAAAATAAACATTTTAGACTGTACAAGCTTCTGCCTCAACAGTAGTCAGTGAACAGTCTCAGTCCACTAGATGTGTATTATAGGAAAACCCAGATGGACTGTGCAAGCCTTTTCACATTGTTACATTCTTTCTTTGATTCCGCCCCCACCCCCCAACCATTTAAAACTATAAAAGCCAGTATAAGCTCAAAGGCTGCACAAAAGCAGTAGATCTCAGCTCGAGGGAAGTAGAATCCATTCTGTATTGATTTTGGAATTAGAGATATGAAAAGCTATTATCATTGTTCCAGGGAGGGCCCCAGGCTTCACAGGTTTTACAGACTTCTCTCTCTTTTCTCCTAAAAGGGAGGGTTAGTTAACCCGGGGCAAAGCATTCTCAGTTGAGGAAGAAAAATTTAGCCTAAAGCAGGACTAAGAGGCCTTTCTAGACTTGCTTTCTAAAGGGTAAAGCGAAAACAACAATCCCTAAGAGTTAAGAAAGTTGATTGGAGCCGGATGTGACTTCCTGGACTCTTGATCCCGCCAGCCTAAAGAGAAAGCAAAAGAGTTAAACGGGATAACGAATGTATAAAACATTTTATAAAATGCACCTGTATATTCCCTCGTTTCCGAGATTCAGGCTGTGTAACTCACAGCGACTCATGATCGCTGTGGGAAGCCTCTGGCGAAGTTAAGACCCTGTCCCTTTAAATCCTCTCCAACTACCTAAAGTTGTGAGACGGGTCTGCACTTGCGCAGTCCTTCGCACGCCGGCCCCACCCCCCACCCCCAACAGTCTTCCCGAAGCCTGTGGAAGGGAGGTTAAAGGTCCTCCCACACAACACTTGTACGCAGGCGTAAACGATGATTGAGAGCCTTGTATCTCACTGAGAGCCCAGTCTCTTTTTCCACTCCCGAAGGCTCCGCCCCTCTCGCCCAATCAGTGGGCCTCTCCCCTTGCAATGACCAATGGGAGTGAGCGTGGGGGCGTGGCTGCGCGGCTAGGGGCGCGGCCTGGCGCTGAGAAGCGGCGGGGTGAGCCGGGGGCTCTAGTGAACAGCGCAGCCGGACAGGGATCGCCGGCAGGCGGTGAGCGGAGGCAGCCGGGTCCCGGCGTTCCCCGAGATGTCACGATGGCTGTGGCCATGGTCGAACTGTGTGAAAGAACGGGTCTGCCGCTACTTGCTACACCACTACTTGGGTCACTTCTTCCAAGAACATCTGAGCCTGGACCAACTCAGCCTGGATCTGTACAAGGGCAGCGTTGCCCTGCGGGATATCCACCTGGAGAACTGGGTGAGGAGCGGTGCCCGAGCTCAGGAAGGTGCAGTGGGCGGGAAGGCAGTGCCCGGCGGAGGGGTCAGGCTGGAGGGCCGGACACTGGGTGAAGAGAGGCCGGGAAGTCGGGCCCTCTCCGGGCACCAGCGAGGTCGCCTTGGTTCCTTATCAGATCCTGAAGCTGGGAGAAACAGGCTGAGAGGGTGGGATGTCTCTCGTCTGGTGAATGCCAGCAGGATCTCATCGAGTTTGAGGACTGAGTTGAGCTGAGTGAAGAGGGATTAGAGGACCTATTGGCAGTGACAGAGTTGGGGAGGGGTAGTTGCGGAGGGATGGCTGGTGGGGGGTACCGAGCCTTGCTCATGGTACCTGTGGAAAATGAGCCCCGACCTCCAGACCCCGAGATCCTGAGCCTGGTGGGTGGGGTTCCCCTCCGGAGGCAGATGTCAACAAAAGCGTCAGACCCTGTTGATCAACACCTCGTGCGACTTGCTGCCGTCTACTTCCTGCTTTTGGAGGTGGAGTTGGGCAGCCTATGCAGATGTTTAGGGCGGGACTTGGAATCCAGCATCCCTACCTTTAGGGCAGCCCTTGAGGAAGGTGGGTAGGTCTGGCCCCTGGCTGGTGTTAGGAAGCTAAAGTGGATCTTGTTCGGGAGAAATGTGAGGCTGGGGGCTGGTGGGTCAGGTTCCCTGAATCACAGCTCACCTAATTTAGAGTAACCAAGGAGCCCTCGATTAGAGGCCTCCGCCTAGCACTGACTGGTATTGGGCCACCTCTCCAGTTCCAGAGCTTCAAGTGGGCATGGGAGTAGAGCTTTCTTTTCTGACTGGTGTTAGAGTTCTGGCCCTTTGGACTGGAAAGCCAGACATACAGACAGAACAGGCCTTGGGAAAAAATGTGGATTGAGAGTAGGTAGAATTTCTCAGTAGCCTGTGGTCTGTGAGGGCCCAATTAGGAAGCCATTTACATTCAGCCCCCGAAAATACTCCCAGGTCTTATGCCCTAACTTCTTTTGAAGACAGAGACTTCCCTCTAGGCTGGTTTTCAACCTAGCCCCTAGCAAAATTCAGGCACTTTGCGAACCAACCCTTTTTCTCAGCTCAAGGTCCCCAAATCAGACTCCAGGTGGGGTGGGGAAAAGGCCTGGTCCCAGTCTTAGCCCTGGTAGAACATGGGGTACCTAGACTAGTGTCCCCTGGGTCTCTGTGTCCTCAGCCATGGGCCTTAATCTCAGTTGTTAGCTCTGTTTGCACTTATTTAACATTCATGCATCCAAAAAGTGTTCACCGAGAACCTCACTGGTAGCACGTAGACTGGAGGTCACTGGGAGAAGGCTGGCAGGGTACGGCACTTTTATTGGGGCTCAGTCTTGTGTTCAGAGGAACAGCCACACTACTATCTTAGATTTAAGGATCCATCTGGATTCAAGTCAGCCCCTCGCCTGGACAGTTCTCCCCTTGAACTCTGTGCTGGCCCTGGGTGAGCATGGACTGCCAGGCTGGTGCACCTGTTGTTCCCATGCCTGGAACACATCGCCATCCATCTCTGCCTGGCTGCTTCCTCTTCATTCTTCAGCCCTTCCCCCACCTCGGTGTTCCCAGACCCCCTCTCTCCCTGGTACCCCCTCACCTCTGGTTTCATCCTGGTCTGATGAGGCCATGCAGTCTCAATGTCAGGTGTCTGGTAAAAGTTTATGGTTTTTTGTTTTGTTTTGATTTTCGGTCGTGGGGCTTGAACTCTGGGCCTGGGTGCTGTCCCTCAGCTCTTCAGCTCAAGGCAAGCTCTTTACACTTGAGCCATTGTACCACTTCCGGTTTTCTGGTAGTTAATTAGAGATAAGAGTCTCCTTGATGGCTCACGCCTATAGTCCTAGCAACTGAGGAGGCTGAGATCTGAGGATCACGGTTCAAAGCCAGCCTAGTCAGGAAAGGCAGGAAAGTCTGTGAAACTCTTATCTCCAATAAACCACTAGAAAACTGGAAGTGGCGCTGTGGCTGTAGCGGTAGAGTGCTCCCCTTGAGCTGAAGAGCTGAGAGATAGTGCCCAAGCCCAGAGTTCAAGCCCCACGACTGACCAAAAAAAAAAAAAGTCTCATGGACTTTCCTTCCCAGGCTGGCTTTGAACCATGATCCTCTGATCTCAGCCTCCTGAGTAGCTAGGATTACAGGCGTGAGCCACCAGCACCCAGCAAAAGTATTATTTTTTAACTGAATGGAGTGGGAAATATTGGAGCTGGCTTCAGTGTTGAGTACCTTTGGTTGATGGGGTGAAGGGTTAGGGAACAGCATGAACCAAAGTAGGGTTTATAGCATGCAGAAGGACAGAAAAACTAGCGACCCTCTCCAAGGCCAAATGGCTGTGCAGGCTGAAGAAGCCAGCTGGATTCGGGGTTCCATGAGCTGATATGTCCCTTTCTCACTTCAGTCTGTGAACGAGGTGCTGGAGTCGATGGATTCACCGCTGGAGCTGGTGGAAGGCTTTGTGGGCTCCATCGAGGTGGCTGTGCCCTGGGCTGCGCTACTCACTGACCACTGCACGGTGCGTGTGTCGGGCCTCCAGCTCACCCTGCAGCCCCGCCAAAGCCCAGGTGAGGCATGACAAGGCCAGGAGCAGGCAAGTGGTAGGACTGAGCCTAGGAACCCAGGAGCTGTCAGAGCCTGCTTACCCTGAGACCCTTTCCTCTCCACAGGGCCAGGGGCTGCTGACTCGCAGAGCTGGGCTTCCTGCATGACCACAAGCCTGCAGCTGGCTCAGGAGTGTCTTCGGAATGGGCTTCCCGAGCCCTCAGAGCCTCCACAGCCCCTAGAGGGGCTGGAAATGTTTGCCCAGACCATCGAGACAGGTAAGCCAGCTCCTCCATAGCTCACAGGACAGGGCCCTCAGACAGCAACTTACCCCTTGCTGTTCAGAGGGGAAATTGCCTTCCCTCTGGCTGCCACAGCTGACCTGAGACACTCCTCCCCCTCCCCACATACCAGTGCTGCGGAGGATCAAGGTGACCTTTCTGGACAGTGTGGTGAGGATAGAGCACTCTCCGGGCGATGGGGAGCATGGCGTGGCCATGGAGATCCACGTGCAGAGGTACAGATAGGCTGGGATTCAAGGGTGTGAGAACTGCTTATTGGCCCTGCCTCTTCCCCTCTCACCCCTCACCCCTAAGCCGGTCTCCGGGAAGCCACAAGGTGAATGAAGCAGGTGGGCCTGATGGTAGTGGGGTTGGGGAAAAGGGCCGAGGTGGGAGCATGCACTGGCATCCTGGACCCAAGTGTTCTGCGTGGCATGGGTCCCAGAAACCAGGTTAGACTCTGAGGGTCAGAGGGACTAGCTGAGCATCCTAGCTGGACATGGTGGTCCAGGGTGTCGCAGATAGGGTGGGCAGCTTTGCAGGCTGGGCTCCCCAACCCCAGACCCCTAGAACACAACACTGTGAGAAGAAAGGGCACCAGGCGTGGGGTGGCCAGGACAAGGGCTGACCCTCCACTCCCCAGACTGGAGTACTGTGACGAGTCTGTGCGAGATCCAGGCCAGGCACCTCCGGTGGACGTGCACCAGCCACCCGCCTTCCTACACAAGATGCTGCAGTTGGCGGGGGTCCGCCTGTACTTCGAAGAGCTCCCCTCACAGGTAGGCTGACTGCCTTCCACACCCTCAAGATCCCAAAGCCCCTCTGATCCCACAAACCCTCTGGAGACCTAACTCCTCAGCTCTCCACCTCTCAGGCAGAGCCACCAGAGCCTCCCTTGCAGATTGGCAGCTGTTCGGGGTACATGGAGCTAATAGTGAAGCTGAAGCAGAACGAGGCCTTTCCAGGACCTAAGGTAGGTCACCAGGCACCCAGGATGAGCAAGTGTGCCCCATCTCCAATGAGGGAGGGAAATTATAGCCAGGTATTGGTTGCTCAGGAGTGTGTTCCTAATTCCTCAAGAAGCTAAGATCTTTATTTATGTTTGTTTTGTCAGTCCCAGGGCTTGAACTCAGGGCCTGGGTACTGTCTCTGAGCTTCTTTTGCTCAAGGCTAGCACTCTACCCCTTGAGCCACAGCACCACTCCCGGTTTTTTCTCCTTATGTGGTACTGAAGAATTGAACCCAGGGTTTCATGCATGCAAGGCAAACACTCTACCACTAAGCCACATTCCCAGTCCAAGAAGCCAAGATCTGAGGCTCTTGGTTTGAAGCCAGCCTGGGGAGGAAAATCTGTGAGACTCTGATCTCCAATTAGCCAGCAAAGAGTTTAAGTGGAGCTGTGGCTCAAGTGGTAGAGCATCAGCCTTGATCCAGAAAGCTAAAGGAGAGTGCTCAGGCCCTGAATTCAAGCCTCAGGACCAGCATGGAAAGAAAAAGAAAGAGAGAGAGAGAGAGAAACAAAGAAGGGGCTGGGAAGGTGGCTCAGTGGTAGAGCGCTTGTCTTGCATGCATGAGGCCCTGGGTTCGATTCCTCAGCCCCACATAAGCAAAAAGGAAAAAAAGCTGGAAGTAGCCCACTACCGGACCAAAAAAAAAAAAGAAACAAAGAAAGAGACAGACAGACAGGCTGGGAAGGTGGCTCAGTGGTAGAGTGCTTGCCTCGCATGCGTGAGGCCCTGGGTTTGATTCCTCAGCACCACATAAGCAGAAAAAGCCAGAAGTGGTGCTGTGGCACAAGTGGTAGAGAGAGCACTAGCCTTGAGCTGAAGAGCTAAGAGACAGTGCCCAGGCCCAGAGTTCTGGCCCCACGACCGACAAAAAAAAAAAAAAGAAAAAAGAGCGAAAGGAAAAGAAGGGAAATTATGACCTGCTTTGAATTAGAGAAACTGAGGCTCAGAGAGGTCTGGTTGTGAGCAGGTTCATGCAGCTACTTGGTAATAGAGTTTAGCCTGATGATTGACCTCAGGGGGAGGGGGCAGGTAGCAGCTCTCAAAGGGACTGAGTGACAAACATGGCCGCCCTTCACCCCCCCAGCTGGAGGTGGCGGGGCAGCTGGGCTCCCTGCACCTGCTCCTGACCCCACAGAGGCTCCAGCAGCTCCAGGACCTGCTCAGTGCCATCAGTCTCACAGGTGAGGCTTCAAGACAACCAGGGGATGGATGGTTAGGGCTGGCAACCAGGCTGGACTGAAACCTCTTCCCTTACAGCCCCAGAAGGCCTTGCTGACAAGCTGAACAAGAGTCGCCCACTAGGTGCTGAAGACCTGTGGCTGATCGAACAGGATCTGAACCAGCAGCTACAGGCAGGCGCTGTGGCCGAGCCCCTCAGCCCAGACCCTGTGACCAACCCCCTCCTCAACCTGGACAGTCCTGGTGGGTGCAGGGCCGACACTGATTGGAGTGGCAGCTTGCATGAGTGCAAGATCCCAGGGGCCAAGCCCCTCTGTCTCCTAACGCCTCTCGCCTCCCCCTCACCTAGACCTCTTCTTCTCCATGGCTGGCCTCACAAGCAGCGTGGCCTCAGCAGTCTCTGAGCTCTCCCTCTCTGACGTAGACCTAAATTCCTCCGTGCACAGCAACATGGCCTCCCACCGACTCTCTGCCCCAGCCCACCCAGCTGGTGAGTCCAGCTCCCTGGATAGGGGAAAGGAGGGCTAAGAGGCCTTCACATCAGACATGTGCTGTGCTGGAGGCCCTGGCGATGCCTGGACACCCCCCACGGGTGATAATTGGTTATGTGATGGGCAGGGCACAGCTTTTAGAGTCAGTGCTCTTGACCAAGTACTTCTTTCTGCGTTTTGGGGCTGGGAAGGTGGCTCAGTGGTAGAGTGCTTGCCTCACATGCATGAGGCCCTGGGTTCAGTTCATCAACACCATATAAACAAAAAAAAAAGCCGAAAGTGGCACTGTGGCTCAAGTGGTAGAGCGCTCGTCTTGAGCTGAAGAGCTGAGGGACAGCACCCAGGCCCCACGACTGACAAAAAAATCTTTCTGTTCTTCTTTCCTTCATTCTTCCTTTCTTCCCTTTTCCTTTCTTCTTCCTTCATTTCTTCCTCTTTCTCACCAGTCCTGGGGCTTGAACTCAGAGCTGATGTGTTGTCCCTGAGCTTTTTTGCTCAAGGTGGACACTTTACCACTTAAGCCACAGCTCTACTTCTGACTTATTGATTACTACTTGGAGATAAAAGTCTCAGGGACTTCCAACATGATTCTCAGATCTCAGCCTTCTAAGTAGATAGGATTACAGGCGTGAGCCTCCAGCACCCACCTTATTTAAATTCTCTGTGACTCAGTTTCTCTTTCTATCAACAAACTGTATGTTTTAGGCAATACTTGAATTTATTGTGGGTCAGGTGCTAGTCTGTGTTTGACACTGAGGCCTTCTAGAACCTTCAGGGGGTTAAATTGAGCTAGGAGATAAGTCCCTTTCCAGAGCCACACAATGAGATAGATTTGCTCCCCCACAGTCCAGCTTAGCCATCGTTTCCCCGATCCCCCAGCGCCATGGCCAACTGTCACCCCCACCTAGGGTCCTCCGAGCTCCGAGGAGCCTTTGGTAAAGCCTCTGTTCCCTCAGGCAAGACAGCCCCAACTCCTGTTCCGGGCACCATGCGCCCTGACTCGCTGCTGAAGATGACCTTGGGTGGCGTGACCCTGACTTTGCTCCAGACATCTGCCCCAGCTTCTGGACCACCTGACCTCACTACCCACTTTTTTACTGAGTTTGATGCCACCAAGGATGGGCCATTTGGCTCGCGAGACTTCCAGCACCTTCGGCCACGCTTCCAGAAGGCTTGCCCCTGCAGCCATGTCCGGTACAAGCCCAGCCTGAGGCCGAGGCCTGCAGAGACCGCCAGGGCTCCCAGACCCCACCTCTGACACCTACCTCCTTACCCGCAGGCTCACGGGCACAGCTGTCCAGCTGTCCTGGGAACTGTGGGCAAGCAGCCGGGGCCGGCGGACTACCACCACAGAATTGCACTTCGGGCAGCTGGAGGTCCTAGAGTGCCTGTGGCCCAAGGGCTCTTCAGAACCCGAATACACAGAGGTAGGGGCTGAGGTAGGGCCTGGGGGCGAGGGGAGCATGGATCCAGCCTAGCCCTGCTTACCTCCACTGCTTCGTCCTAGATCCTGAGTTTCCCCAGTAACCTGAGTACCCAGGCCTCAGTTCGGCCCTGTGGGCACCTACGCCATACACAGACCCTGCGCCGGCTGCCAAAGGTAGCTGACCTCCTCCCCCCACCCCCCCAAGCCGAACTGTGAGGCTGTTGGTCTCTTCTCATGGTGTATTGACCCCAATCTGGCCTCTTCAGTGTCTTCTCTGCTGTCACCCTGGCCCTCCTTTTCCTATGCTCCAGCTGGACCACACCAGGCTATTTCAGAGCCTTTGGGTGTGAACTTGTACACTCTGACCAAGCCATTCTAGAGGCCTGGTTCTCCTTCCCTGGCTCAGAGAGTGGCCTGCTAGGCCTTTGAGGCTGGAAGGGGCAAGTGTTGTGTGATGTGTGTGTGCGCGCACACACGTGTGTACATGCATTGGAGCTTGAACTCAGCTTCCTGCTCTTGCTCAGCTTTTTCACTCAAGGCTGGTGCTCTACCACTTGAGCCACACCTCTGCTTCTAGCTTTTGGCTGGTTAATTGGAGATGACAGTCTCTGATTGGTCTGTCTGTGCTTGGCCTGGCTTTAAACCAAGATCCTCAGATTTCAGCCTCTTGAGTAGCTAGGATTACAGGCATGAGTCACCAGTCTCCAGCATTCAGTGACTTCTTAAGTAAACTGGCTTCAGGTGGCAGTGTAGAAAGTCTGCCTCGGTCCCTCCTGGGTGCCCTCCCCATGCTCTTCTCCCACCTCTGAGGGGGTTCAGGTTTGTTTTTGCTTGAGGAAACCCTTTCCTACCCTGCCTCTGTCTACCCCATGACCCTCAGTGACCCCAACATCTTTATTCTACATAGAGCCGGGCCCGGCGCTCTGTTGCCTGCCACTGCCATTCAGAAGTGGTCCTGGACCTGGAGGAATTCCAGGCAGATGTGGAACTGGGGGCTCTGGACCGATTTGCTGCCCTGCTGCACTTGGCCACTGTACCCCACAAGCCACCCGCTGGTCTACTGGTAAAAATGTCCTGCTGGGCCTGGGGTAGTGGAACACTAGCCCTCAGGCCCTACCACGGTGGCAGGGGCCCTGGCATCTCTGATCCTCACCCTTCCACAGACAGAGCCCCCGTGGGCTTCAGAGCAACAGACAGTGTTTCGGCTTTCTGCACCCCGGGCCACGCTGCGGCTGCGCTTCCCTATTGCTGATCTGAGGCCTGAGCGGGACCCCTGGGCAGGCCGGGCTGTGCGGACAGAGCAGCTGCGACTGGAACTGAGTGAGCCCCAGTTCCGGTCAGAGCTCAGCAGCGGGCCTGGCCCCCCGGTTTCCACCCGCCTGGAGCTCACCTTTTCTGACCTGCATGGTAAGAAACCCCTGGGGACACCTTGAAGGGGCCCTGCCACCAGGTGGGTTTGGGAACACAGGAAGGTGTAGATCTGGCCCTGGCACAGGCCCCTGCCATCCTGGGGCACTGGACCACTGCCAGACCATGGGGTGTCAGCATGCTCCCCAGCACTGGGGAAGAAAAGTAAAAAGGCACCAGGCACCAGTGGCTCACACCTGTAATCCTAGCTATTCAGGAGGCTGAGATCTGAGGATCACAGTTTGAAACTAGCCCAAGCAGGAAAAATCCATGAGATTTTTATCTCCAATTAACCAGAATGGCACTAGAGCTCAATGTGTGCTAGCCTGAATGCAAAAGCTCAGGGACAGCACCCAAACCTTGAGTTCGAGCCCCATGACTGACAAAAATAAAGAGGTATCAGTGATGACTCCACCTCCCATCCCCCCAGGAATCTACGAAGATGGAGAGAAGCCACCCATCCCTTGCCTAAGGATTGCCAAATCTGTGGACCCCAAGAACATTGGGCGCAAGTACTTCCTGCCACAGTAAGTGGAGGCCTTGGGGAGACATCAAGAGAGGAGGGGTCGATTGCCCCTGCTGGGGATGACAGGAGACCAGCCTGGGCCCATGGGGGCCCTGCAGACCAGTGACAGGCCTGTGCCCGGCAGGGTAGTGGTGACCCTGAACCCCCAGTCCAGTGACACACAGTGGGAGACGGGTCCGGACAAGAGCGAGGACCTGGAGCTATCCACGGAAAGTCCATGCGAGCTACGGGAGCCTGAGCCCTCACCCTTCTCCTCTAAGAGGACCATGTACGAGACCGAGGAGGTAAGGCCCCGCCCCACTGCTTCCTGGGGCCTTCACCCCACCACAATAGATATTGTGGAAGCCACCTGTGTGCCTATGGACCAAGCTGGCGATCACTTGGGGGTGGGCATGATGTGACCCAACATGGTATGCACATTTTCTTTCATTATTTCTGTCCAAAAAGGGAGTCTGAAGTTCCCACTGGGCCCTGGGTGGAGGGAGCACACTGGGGAAGGCAAGCCCCCCAGTCAGGACAGTAGGGACCTAGCCACCTGCTATTAGCAGGGTACTTTTCTGCAGTTGATAAGGACTGAAAGGCACTGAAGGCCTGCCCAGGTTCTCTGCAGGCCCTGCCACGGGATGGAGAATTAACCTGTAGATGGGTTTCCTCCTCTAGGATGTAGGCACAAGGACTTCTGTCATGTAGGCTGTTGTGAGGACTCAGCTCACATTTGGGCAGCTCTTAAGACTGGCATGCTACTGGCACTGTGTCCTAAATGGACATCACCCTCACCAATAGAGATGGGCTTCTAAGAACGAATGGGTGGGTGGAAGGGTGGATGGATGTATTGGGTAGGCAGAGGAATGGGTGGGTGGGTGGATGGATGGATAGATGGACAGATGGATAGATGGACAGATAGATAGATGGACAGATGGACAGATGGGCAAGTGGGTGGATGGATGGTTTGGGTAGGTAAGTGAATGAATGAATGAATGGATGGGTGGATAGATGGACAAGTGAATAGATAGATGGGCATTTGGGCAAGTAGGTAGATGGATGGATAATTGGAAGTATGGGTAGATGGATGCTTAGGCAGGGGGGTGGATGGATGGATGGATGGATGGATGAGCAGAGAGAAGAAGGAAGGGAAGGAAAGGGGTAATCAAAGGTCAGGACACAGATTCTAGAGCCATGTCTGCCTTAGCATGTCTTGGCTTTCCTACTGAGGTTCTTTCTCCTCCCCCCCCATCTCCCCCCACCCCATCCAGATGGTGATCCCTGGAGATCCTGAGGAGATGAGGACATTCCAGACCCGGACGCTAGCCCTCTCCCGCTGTAGCCTGGAAGTACTCCTGCCCAGTGCGCATGTCTTCCTGCCCAGCAAAGAGGTCTACGAAAGCATCTACAACAGGTGGGGACATGCCAGGCAGGGCCGGGCATGGGGCCGGCCGGGCATTGTCCTTACTCACCTCTGCCACCCATCCTCCCACGTCAGGATCAACAATGACCTGCTCATGTGGGAACCCGCAGACCTGTTTCCCAGCCCTGGTCCTGCCACTCACCCCTCAGGCTTTCCAGGCTCCTCTGGCTTCTGGCATGACAACTTCAAAATGTGCAAGTCCGCCTTCAAGCTGGGTATGAGAGGCACTGATTGGGCCAGAGGGAGGATTCTAGGTGTGGGCAGGACTGGGCCAGCCCTACAGGTCCGCTGCTCACCCCACCTCCTTGATCTCACCCCAGATTCAGACTCTGATGAAGAAGATGTCAAGTTCTTCTCAGTAGGCGCTTCGAGTGTCCCTCAACCTCCTGCCCCTGATCCCCCAAGACATCACTCACAGAGTACCTTCTCTACCATGGTGAAAGTACTGAAGGGTCGGATCACAGCCTTCTGTGAGGCTAAGGTGAGCCAGTCGTGGGCAGCTGAGCCTGACTCCTTGGTTGTAGGAGTGAGACAGACGTAAGCAGCTATAGGTCAGAAGTGTGGAGTAGAAGGCATGGGTAACCAGCCCTGACTCACCCTTGCCAGCCACTGGCCCCATCGCCTCCCCACATCCACTCACCAGCCCCTCCTCTTCATAAAGCCCCGAGGGAGAGGGCAGAAAGGGTACCATTTGGTCTCAGGCTGTCAGGGCGAGGCTGGTCTTCTGGGAGAGACAGTCTCACAGCCCTGTGGTGGAGTCCGGCAGGAGTGGGGGAGGTCCCCTAGTCCAGGCCTCTATTACGGGTGGTCCAGGGCACAGCAGTGATGGGGGTGCACTCTGCAGGATGAAGATGGGAAGCGACAGGAGGGGCGGCATGGGGAGCTGGTACTGGATGTGGACCATGGCACCATCTTCAACGTCTCCCAGTACCGTGGCCAGCCAGGGTTCGGTTACTTCTGTGTGGAAGCTGAAAAGGCAACACTGTATCACCGAGGTGTGAGAGCTGGGCACTGGGTGCCCTGTAAATCTAGGCCTCAGGCTGGCGGGCCCCCGGGTGGGGTGGGGGGGTCGGAGGGAGAGAGCTGGCAAGAGGGGCCAGTGCAGGGCACAGACAGCTCATGAGATCCTTCCCCAGCGGCTGTGGGCGATGCCCTGTTGCCCAGTCACTTGGAACTGCCCAGCTTTGCCCCTCCGGCCCACCTGGCGCCCACCATCTACCCATCGGAGGAAGGGTTGACTGAGCGGGGATCCTCAGGCCGGAAGGGGCAGGGCCAAGGCCAGAGCCTCCCCATGCTGTCCGCCGCTGTGCGCATCCACCTAGATCCCCACAAGAACATCAAGGTACTGCTTCCTGCTCGTGCCCAGCTGGCTCCCTTCTTCCTGTGTCTGCTGGGCCCTGGGATCTCCACCCTCCTGACTGCACCTCCATCCCTAGGAGTTCCTGGTGACGCTGCGGCTCTATAAAGCCACCCTGCGCCACTACATGGCCTTGCCTGAACAGAGCTGGTACTCCCAGGTGAGCAGAGGTGACCCAGTGATAGTGGCCTCCTGAGTTGGGCAGGGCCGGGGTGGCTGGGATTGAGGCGCATGGGCTTGTGGGCTAGGCCATGAGGGACAGCTGATGGGTGACAGGTGGGATGGCAGACGAGGGCTGGGTCAGGAGAGGATTGGAGGAGGGAGGTGTCCCTCTTTCCTCACCATCTCCTCCCACCCTGCCCGCCACCCAAGCTGTTGGAGTTCTTGGACGTGCTGGATGACCCCGTGCTGGGCTACCTGCCCCCAACCGTCATCACTGTCCTGCACACACACCTGTTCTCCTGTGCTGTGGATTACAGGTACCCAGGCAGGCAGGGGCAGGCCTCGGCCACAGGGAGCCTGCCCCAGCCTAAATGTGACTCCCTCGCACTCGCAGGCCCCTGTACCTCCCCGTGCGCGTCCTCGCTACCACTGAGACCTTCACCCTCTCCAGCAATATCGTCATGGACACGTCGACCTTCCTGCTCAGGTATTTGGGATCTTCCCTTCCACTCCCACACACCCACACCCTCTCACTATGTCCCCCTCCCCTCCAAGCCAGGCTGTGGCCTGTCACATGCATCCTTAGGAACCTAAGTTGTTTCCACTTTCCTGGAGGGGGTTGCTGGGCCCCTCAAATCAGAGCCTGAGAACCTTAATGCTCTCTGACTTGGTAATCTCATCTCTAGAGAGCACTGATAGCTCATGCTTGTAATCCTAGCTACTCAGGAGAGGTTGAGCTCTGAGGATTGTAGTTTGAAGCCAGCCTGGGCAAGGAAAGTCTGTGAGACTCCTTTGTTGTTGTTGTTGTTTTAATTTTTTTTTATTGGGATGAAGTGATTACACAAATTTCACAAAAAGCCAGAAGTGGATCTGGGGCTCAAGTGGTAGAGTGCTAACCTTGAGCAAAAAAAAGCTGAGGGACACAGCCCAGCCTTAAGTTCAAGCCCTAGAATGACACATACACCACACACAAAAGAAAGAAAATGCCACAATATATTGCTTAGTGAAAATAATATGTTATAAGCTAGCACAGTGACTCGTGCCTTTAATCCTAGCTATCGGGATGCTGAGATTGAGAGGATTGCTGTTTGTTTAAGGCCAGCCATGACAGAAAAGTTTGCAAGAGTCCATCTCAACCAATAAAAAGTGAGGTGTGGTAGTGTACAGCTGTCATCCCAGCTATACCAGAAGTATAAATAGGAGGATTGCCAACTGATCATCCTAGGCATAAAGGGAAGACTTTTCTTTAAAAATATTGAGAGCTCCTAGGGGAGTAGCTCAAGTGGTAGAGCACCTGCCTAAGAAGTCTAGGGTCCTGAGTTCAAATCCCAGTACCAGGGGGGAAAAAAGACCAGGAAATAGCTGGGCATTGGTGACTCAAACCTGTAATCCTAGCTATTCAGGTGGTTAAGATCTGAGGATCATGGTTCAAAGCCAGCTGGGCCAGGAAAGTCTGAGACTCATCTCCAATTAAGCACCAGAAAACCGGAAGTGGCACTATGGCTCAAGTGGCAGAGCACTAGCCTTAAGCCGAAGAGCTGAGGGACAGTGCCTGGGCTCAGACTTCAAGCCCCATAACCCCCCCCCCCACACCCACACACACACACAACAAAGCTGGAACTGAAAACATGATTCAAGTGGTAAGGCATCAGCCTTGGATGAAAAAAGACCAAGAATGTGAAATATTGAGTTTAAGTCTCAATACCAACACACACACTAGGATGAAGGGAGGGGCTCAATGTAGGGGCCCAGAGTTCAATCCCCAGTAACATAAATGGTGGCTCACGCCTGTAATCCTAGCTTCTCAGGAGGCCAGGAGGCTGAGATCCGAGGCTAGAGGTTGGAGGAAAAGAAAAATGACAGATGGAAAGGAAAAGTGAGGAAAACAAATGATAGAAAGGGGAGGGATGCCCCCATGCAGTGGGAGGACCAAATGAGAGCCTGAAAGAACTGGAAGTTCTCTGAGCTCTCCAAGTGCTGCCTTGGTAAGGCGAGGGACTGCTGTCTGGCTGGAGCCCTTAGAACCCCGGGCCACTCTGTTCTCCCATGAGAGCCTTCCCAGCAGCTTCTTGGTGGCTGGGGCCTCTGCTGTCTGCAGGAGCCCCACTTCTGCCCGGCTGCCGTGGAGCAGCCGCCTGCAGTGGCTTCTGGGCCCTTCTCAGCCCTGATCCCCACCAGGTTCATCCTCGATGACTCTGCCTTGTACCTGTCGGACAAGTGTGAGGTGGAGAGCCTGGATCTGCGGCGAGGTGAGCAGGGCGGGCCCCGAGTCCTCAACCCTAGAGTAACCAGTGTCCCCCATGTAGCTGTTGGCTAGTTCTCCACTGCCCCCCATACTTGGAGTGGGCTGCGCCCAGTGGTGGTGGGCAGGGGCTGCACTGAAGGAGGCCTTAAGAACAAGCTTCTACCTTCTGCCTCAGATTATGTCTGCGTCCTTGACATCGACCTCCTGGAGCTCGTGATCAAAACCTGGAAGGGCAGCACCGAGGGCAAACTGGTGTGTGTGGCTGTCACCAGGGGCAGAGTGCCTCCCCCCACCCCACAAGAGCCAGGACCGGAGCTGTCCCTTGCTGTTCACTGGATGGATGGGCAGGATGTGTTTCAGTCCAGCCACCAGGGGGCAGCTGCGGGCAGGGTGGAAGCGAGCCTTGCTGGGGTGGGGGGGGGGGGGCGGGGAGCGGCCTGGTTCTCTGTATAGTGAGATAACGCCCCCACCTCATGGGGCCAAGAGGGAGGGGCAGAAGAAACTTCATGTGTAAGTCTAGGGGTGTGTGTGTGTGTATCCTCAAGGCTAGTGCTCTGCCCCTGGGGCCATACCTCCACTCCCAGCTTTTTGCTAGTTAATTGAAGATGAGTTGCTTGCATTTGTTTGCCCTAGACCTCAAGCCAAAAATTTTCAGATCTCAGACATCTGGGTAGCTAGGATTATAGACATGAGCCATCCGTGCCCAGAGACCCCGCGATACCTCCGGCTCAGTTTGCCCGTCTGTTGAGTGGGGTACCACACTGAAGGAAAACCTGCCTGGCTCTCTCTGTAGCAGGAACAAACTGTGACATCCTGCAGGGGCCTGGTGGGCAGTGGGGGCCCCCTCTGATACCCCACTGTTCTCCCGCAGAGCCAGCCGCTGTTTGAGTTGCGCTGCTCCAACAACGTGGTCCATGTGCACAGCTGCGCCGACTCCTGCGCCCTGCTGGCCAATCTGCTCCAGTATGTCACAAGCTCCGGCGACCTGCACCCCCCACCCCGACCCCCTAGCCCCACGGAGATCGCCGGCCAGAAGGTACAGGTGAGGCCTGGCCACACAGACTTCCCTTGCTCGGCCAGGCCCCTCCTCCATATAGCCTTCAGGGTCTGAGTTGGGGGGGTTACCCTGGGGTCACCCCTCCTTCTAGGCCTTCACTCACCACACCTCCCCTGCCTGGACCAGCTCTCCGAGAGCCCAGCCACCCTGCCTTCATGCCCCCCAGTGGAGACAGCCCTCATCAACCAGCGGGACCTGACCGATGCCCTCCTGGACACTGAACGCAGCCTGCGGGAGCTGGCCCAGCCCTCAGGTGGGGAGGGGGGGCGCTCCAGCCACTGCGGACTTGGGCAGGCACCCACTCCAGCATCTCCCACACTGGCTTCTCTCTCCCATAGGTGACCCCCTTCTTCCTCAAGACTCGCCCATTTCCGTCTACCTGTTCCCTGGTGAACGGAGTGCGGCTCGGGCTCCTTCGCCCCCTCCTGGGGGCCCTGCTGGCACCTTAGGGTCTTTCCCTGAGGGTAAGGCCCACGAGAAGGAGGAGGAGGGAGATGGAGACACCATGGACAGTGATGAGTTCTGCATCCTCGATGCCCCTGGCCTGGGCATTCCGGTGCGTGTGTGCGGGAGGGGCTGGCACGGGGTGCTCTCTGCCCAGCAGACAGCTGTCTAGGCTAGGGGTCCAGGATGCTCAGGTGTTTACTCAGTCCTCCTAGAGCTCCAGATCAGAGAAATAGGCAGGAGGCAGCTTCGGTTCTGGGCTCCAGAGAACAGGCGGGACTTCAGAGAGAGGCCTGCCATGCTGGGCAGAGAGACTGGGGCATCTCAAGGGATGGAAAAGGAATGAAGAGTAGGAGGGTATGCCTGTAAGAGCCAGAAGAAAACCCAAACACACTGCAGTCTCAGGGACAGGAGTGAGCCCCTCCCAGATCGACCGCTCTGGGAATGGTAATCTATGAGGGGCATTTTTTGGGTCAGAAATAGGGAAGAAAAAGCTGGGCACAGTGGCTCACACTTATAACCCTAGCTACTTAGGAAGCTGAGATTTAAGATCACAGTTCAAAGCCAATCTAGACAAGAAAGTCTCTGAGACTCTTCTCTCCAATAAACTACCAGAAAACTGGAAGTGATGCTGTGGCTCAAGTGGTAGAGTGCTTGCCTTGAGCTGAAGAGCTGAGGGACAGCGCCCAGACCCAGAGTTTCAAGCCCCACAACTTGACAAAAAAAAGTAAAGAAGCTCAGGGACAGCACCCAGGCCCTGAGTTTAAGCCCCAGGACCAAAACACACACACACACACAGAGAAAAAGAAAAAGAAATAGGGAAAAAAGCCAGGTGCTGATAGCCCATGCCTAAATCCTAGCTAGTAGGAGACTGAGATCTGAAGGTCAAGATTCAAAGCCCATGGGCTGGGAAGGTGGCTCAGTGGTAGAGTGCTTGCCTTGCATGCATGAGGCCCTGGGTTTGATTCCTCTGCACCACATAAGCAGGAAAAAAAAAAGCTGGAAATGGCGCTGTGGCTCAAGTGGTAGAGTGCTAGCCTTGAGCTGAAGACCTGAGGGACAGTGCCCAGGCCCAGAGTTCAATCCCCATGACCGACAAAAAAAAAAAAAAGATTCAAAGCCGGTCCAGGCAAAAAGTCCACGAGACTCATTTCCAGTTAACCAGCAAAAAGCTTAAAGTGGAACTGTGATAGAGTTCCAGCTTTGAGGCCCTGAGTTCAAGTCACATCACTGGCATACAAACACACACACACACACACAGAAGCAAGAAGTAAGGCACCACTGGTTTATGTCTATAATTCTAGATACTCAGGAGGCTGGGATCCGAGAATCACAGTTTGAAGCCAACATGGGCAGGAACAACTTTTTGTTGGTGCTGGTGGTGGTGGTATGGAGCTTGAACTCTGGGCCTGGACGCTGTCCCTGAGCTCTTCAGTTCCAGGCTAGTGCTCTACCACTTTGAGCCACAGTGTCATCATTTCCAGTTTTCTGGTGGTTAATTGGAAATAAAAGTCTCACAAACTTTCCTGCCTGGGCTAGCTTTGAACTGTGATCCTCAGATTTCAGCCTCTTGAGTAGCTAGCATTACAGGCATGAGCCACCGGCACCAGCACCCATGACACTTGTATCTCCCATTAACTATCAAAGAGCCAGAAGTGGGGGCTGGGAAGGTGGCTCAGTGGTAGAGCGCTTGCCTTGCATGCATGAGGCCGTGGATTCAATTCCTTAGCACCACATAAGCAAAAAAAGCCAGAAGTGGTGCTGTGGCTCAAGTGGTAGAGGGCTAGCCTTGAGCTGAAGAGCTGAGGGACAGCGCCCAGGCTGAGTTCTGACCCCACGACTGGCAAAAAAGAAAAAAAAAAAAGCCCGAAGTGGAGCTATAGCTCAAATGGTAGATTGCTAGCCTCAAGCAAAAAAACTCAGGGACAGTGTCCACGCCTTGAGTTCAAGCCCCAGGACCAGCACACACACAGATACACAGAGTCAAGAAAGAAGATGGGGAGGTGTGGGGGTGGCAGAGCGTGGCGGGGACACTGGCAGGACCTGGAGTTGGGGGCTGGGCGGAGGTTCACCTCCATGCCTCTCATGTCTGTTCCCCGCAGCCCCGGGATGGAGAACCCGTGGTAACGCAGCTGCATCCAGGCCCCATCGTCCTGCAGGACGGATACTTCTCTCGGCCCCTGGGCAGCACAGACCTGCTGCGGGCACCTGCTCATTTCCCGGTGCCCAGCAGCCGTGTGGTGCTACGTGAGGTTTCTCTCATCTGGCATCTCTACGGGGGCCGAGACTTTGGCCCCTACCCCAGCCATAGGTGAGGAGGGAGGGGGCATGCAGGTGGCGGCTGGCAGGACTGGGGTTGTGGCTTAGCCCAGCTCTGGTGAAGCCGATGGTAACTTGGATGCCCAACCCTTCCTCCTACCTGAGTTCCTCCTTCCTTGCCCTGCCTCCAGCTGGAGACTGGAGAAGGCTGACACCCCTGTGCTGGGGTGGGTGGAAGCCAGAGGCTTCCTTTGGGTCAGCTTCTCCCCCATTCCTCTCTCCAGAGCAAGAGTTGGCCTCGCAGGCCCCAGGAGTTCTCCTTCCCGCTGCTCTGGCCCCAACCGGCCTCAGAACTCGTGGCGCACACAAGGTGGCAGTGGGCGTCAGCACCAGGTTCTCATGGAGATCCAGCTCAGCAAGGTCAGTGTGGCATCACAGCTACCAGGGCACCCTCGGCCTGTGGCAGCAGTCAGAGCCGATGAGCCCTGCCCTAGCCAGGCGCCGGGGCTCACACTTGTGATCCTCGTGACTCAGGATTCAGGTTCAAAGCCAGCCCAGGCAGAAAGGTCCCTGGGACTTGTCTCCCAATTACCCAGCAGAAAAACCAGTAGTGGAGCTGTGGCTCTACTGGTTGAGCACCAGCCTTGAGTGAAAAAGCCAAGTGAGAGTGTGCGGCCCAGTACCAGCACAACACAACACAAAACCCCTTCAAAGGGAAACGCCCTTTGCCAGGCAAAGCCTGAGGAAGGTGGTCGTGACGTGGCCCTGGCCCATGGTGGGTGATCAGGGCAGAACCAAAGGGTGGAGGGGCAGGAGGGCCTCTTGAGCAAAGATCTGAGCACGCACAGGAGAGAGAGCAGGAAAGGGGAGCAGCTTAGGCCTCTCCCAGAAGCCACCAGGCCCGGAGGAGGCCAAAGCCAGGGCTGGGGAGGAGATGGGGCCAGGGCATGGACATCTGTGGAGCCTGGACAGTTTGATTCTTACCAGAATGAGGTGAGAGCCTCTGGGGTTTTGGAAGAGAGACCTCGGCAGTCAGCACAGGCCAGTGACAGTGTTGCTGTGGGATGGTGACAGATTCCGGAGGGACCAAATGGCATAAGAAGAGCCCAAAGGTTTGTCTAGGCCTAGTGTGTGAAGCAGAGCATTCTACCAGAGAAATTGCAGGGAGCTCCCACTTGCAAGTGACCCAGGCTGGGCACCAGGGGCTCACACCTTTAATCCTAGCTACTCAGGAGTCTGAGATCTGAGGATCATCACAGTTCAAAGCCAGCCGGGCAAGAAAAGTCCATGAGACTCTTATCTCTAATTAACCATCTAAATGTTGGAAGTGGAGCTAGAGTGCTCACCTTGAGCCACAAAGCTCAAGGACAGCCCCTAGACCTGAGTTCAAGCCTCAGGACCAACACTTGTGCTCAGATGGCAGAGCGGGCTGGTGCCACTCAGGTGAGATGATTGGAGTTCAGTGTGATTGCGTGGACTCAAAGCCACATGGTGTGTGGGACGGCCACACAGAGCTGGCAAGGCAGCAGCCATGTATGGGGCCGGGACAGGAAGGGGCGTGAGCTAGACCCTGCCTCCATCCTCAGGTGAGTTTCCAGCATGAAGTGTATCCCGAGGAGCCGGAGCCGGAGCCAGACACAGACACGGGCACCGACACAGACAGGGCCCCTGGCCAGGAGCTGGAGGAGCGGCCGCTGTCCCGCCAGGTGCTCATTGTGCAGGAGCTGGAGATTCGAGACCGGCTGGCCTCCTCCCAGATCAACAAGTTCCTGCACCTGCACACGAGCGAGCGGCTGCCCCGCCGCACACACTCCAACATGGTGCGTAGGATGCAGGATGCGGGCGGTGCCCTGGACGGGCACAGCTGAGGGAGCGGGGTGGGCGGGGCGGCATTAGGGGACCCAGCATGCACCTGGGCTTCCCGTCTGTCCGCAGCTCACCATCAAAGCCCTGCACGTGGCCCCCACCACCAGCCCCGGCGGGCCTGAGTGCTGTCTCCGGGTCTCCCTGATGCCTCTGCGGCTCAACGTGGACCAGGTGAGCCAGGGCAAGCCAGGGCAGGGCCCAGTGTGATCCTCTCCATCCCCGGACTCCTGGATCTGACGTGCTCCCTAAACTCTGCCCCACAGGATGCCCTCTTCTTCCTCAAGGACTTCTTTACCAGCCTGGTGGCTGGTATCAACCCCATATTCCCAGGAGAGCCCTCTGAGGGTGAGAGTTTGGGCTGGGGGAGGGGAGAGGGGAAGTCCAGGGCCCCTTCCCAGGACAGCCAGGCACCCAGAGTCCCTGTCTCACCTCTGGTCCAACCTTCCATCCCCAGCTCGCTCTGAGACTCGAGGCCGGCCTGGCAGCCCCCAGGACGGGCAGCCGGAGGAGATGAGCGGCTCCCAGGAGGCCTCAGGCGGCAGCCGCAGCTCCTCTGCAGAACAGCAGCCCATCTACTTCCGGTAGGGTCGTGGGCCAGGGGTGGGTGGTGGGCCAGACCACAGAGGACGTGGCAGTGACCACAGGCCCCCCTCTGTCCACGCCCAGGGAGTTCCGCTTCACATCCGAGGTGCCCATCTGTCTGGATTACCACGGCAAGCACGTCACCATGGACCAGGTGGTGAGCAGGGCCAGCAGGCCTGGTGCGGTGGAGACTCGGCTCCGTGGGCCCCACTCTGCTCAGATGTCGCTGTCACCCCCATGCCAGGCTCCCCTCCCGCTAACCCCTCCTCTGTTCCCTCGCAGGGCACTTTTGCCGGGCTCCTCATTGGCTTGGCCCAGCTCAACTGTTCGGAGCTGAAGCTCAAGCGGCTCTGCTGCCGCCACGGGTGAGCCCTGAGCACCCCAGTCCTTCTCTCTGGGCTCCCAGTCTTTCTCTACTCCAATCTGTGTAGCCTTGACTAAGTTGTCACTCCTCAGGACCTCAGTTTCTCCCTAAAGTGGGTCGAGCCATGGTTCCACACAGCCGGATGGAACCAGAGGGAGGTTGGGGTGCCCGCAGGGCCCCCCTTGCAGATGCACAGCTCTCCTGGTGCCCCTCACCCCTCTCACCTCTTCCTTCCAGGCTTCTGGGGGTGGACAAGGTGCTGGGCTATGCCCTCAACGAATGGCTGCAGGATATCCGCAAGAACCAGCTGCCCGGCCTGCTGGGGGGCGTGGGCCCTATGCACTCAGTTGTTCAGCTCTGTGAGTGTCTGTGTTCTCTCTCTCTCTCTCTCTCTCTCTCTCTCTCTCTTTCTTCCTCTCTCTCTCTCTCTGCCCCTCTCTTCCATTGTGGGACTTGAACTCTGGGCCTGGGCGCTATCCCTGAACTCTTCACCTCAAGGTGAGCGCACTACCGCTTGAGCCACAGCGCCACTTCCAGTTTTCAGGTGGCTTATTGGAGATAAGAGTCTCACAGACTTTCTTGCCTGGGCTGGCTATGAGCCATGATTTCAGATCTCAGCCTCCTGAGTTGCTAGGATTACAAGTGTGAGCAACTGGTACCTGGCATTGACCCTTTTTTGTTTTTGTTGTTATGCTAGTGGTGTGGCTTGAACTCAGAGCCTGAGCACTGCCCCTTAATGTTTTCCGCCCAAGACTGGTGCTCTACCACTTAAACCACATCTCCACTTTGGGCCATTTGGCAGTTAATCAGAAATAAGAACAACACAGACTTTCCTGCCTGGACTGGCTTTGAACTTTGATCCTCAGATTTCAGCTTCTTGAGTAGTAGATAGGCAGGTTAACTGGCTTGGGTGTGAGGTCTCTTGAAACTGCTTTTACTCTCAGGCAGCTTAGAGACTGCCATTGAGAAAGGAGGAGGGGTCGTCAGGCTGGCTGGCTGGAGGCTGGGCAGCTTCAGGCCTCTCTGATCGCCCTGTCCCCCAGTCCAAGGGTTCCGAGACCTGCTGTGGCTGCCCATTGAGCAGTACCGGAAGGACGGGCGCCTCATGCGGGGACTGCAGCGCGGGGCCGCTTCCTTCGGCTCCTCCACAGCCTCTGCTGCCCTGGAACTGAGCAACCGGCTGGTCCAGGCCATCCAGGTGAGGGCAGACTCTGTGCTCCTGTGTGGGACAGGGAGGGGCTGAAACCCTGCAATCCATGCTGCAGACTCTGACCTCAACACTGTTGAAAGAAGGCTGGGCTCAGCAAGGCTTCCTGACAGCCCACAGGGCCCCCCCCCATCCCCCCCACCCCTCCCACCCCCCCGTGCTCCTGCCCAGCTAGAAGGGGAGGCAGGCAAGAAGAGGGTAGGGCAGCAGGCAGGCAGCCGGTGGCAAGGCACAGGCATAGAAGCCTACCTACTTGAAAAGGATTTGTTTTTACTTTTTTTTTTTTTTTTTGCTATTTTTATTTACTTACTTAGTTGCCCACTTATTGCTTGGTTGATTTGTGCCAGTACTGAGCTTGAACTCAGGGCCTGAGTACCGTCTGTCCTTTGGTTTTTTTTACTCAAGGCTGGAGCTCTACCACTTGAGCCACAGCTCTACTTCTGACTTTTTGGTGCTTAATTAGAGATAGCAGTTTCACAAATTTTCCTGCAGACTGGCTTCAAACCACAATCCTCAGGTCTTAGCCTCCTCAGTAGCTAGGATTACAGGCACGAGCCACCAGTGTCTGGCTGTCCGAACTTCTTGAAGGCTAGCACTGCACAACCCGAGCCACAACTCTGCTTCCAACTTCCAACCAACCAGTTGGAAAAGAAAGTCTCACGGACTTTTCCGCTTGGGCTGGCCTCAAACCATAATCCTCAGTTCTCAGTTTCCTAAGTAGCTCGGATTACAGGTGTAAGCCACCTGCACCTAGTTCTTTGTTTTTATTTTATTTGGGGGGGGAGGGCAGGCAGGATCTCTATGTAGACCAGGCTGAACTCAAACTCAAGACCCTCCTGTCTCTGCCTCCCCAAGGCTGGCCTTAGAGGCATGCGCCTTCAGGAAGAAGGGCTTGGGTTGGAGGAGATACTAGGAAGTCTCCTCAGGGACTTGATGTGCCCTTAGCTGGGGAGGGAGGCAGGGAGATGAGGCCTAGCAGGAGTCCCCAGACAGCACAGCTTAAGGCCCAGTGTAGGTAGGGCCAAGGGAAGCCAGGCTTCCATCACTCAACTCTCCCGTGTGTCCTCAGGCCACAGCTGAGACGGTATACGACATCCTGTCCCCGGCAGCACCCATCTCCCGCTCCCTACAGGACAAGCGCTCTGCACAGAGGCTGCGCAAAGGCCAGCAGCCCGCTGACCTGCGGGAGGGCGTGGCCAAGGCCTATGACACAGTTCGAGAGGTGAGGAGGCCCCCAGCCCTGCTCCCGGAAACCCCGCCCTCACCTGGCTCAGGCCCCAGCACTGACCTCTGACCTCCACAGGGCATCCTGGATACAGCTCAGACCATCTGTGATGTGGCAGCACGTGGCCACGAGCAGAAGGGGCTGACAGGCGCCGTGGGGGGCGTGATCCGCCAGCTGCCCCCAACGGTGGTGAAGCCAATCATTGTGGCCTCAGAGGCCACGTCCAACGTCCTCGGGGGCATCCGCAACCAGATCTTGCCCGACGCTCATAAGGACCATGCCCTCAAGTGGCGCTCGGAGGAGGCCCAAGACTGAGCAGGGGCACCTGGACTCCGTGGCGCACTGCCACTCCCACCCCCTCGGGCCCACAGTCACCCAAGAGCTGCGTGGCACCCACAGCTGGGCCCAGCCTGCGCCCTCCAGGGGTTGGCCACCTGCCCACCCTGCCTATTGCCAATCCGCTGTGAGAGTGGGGCCTGCCTGCCTGCCTTGGGGCCATGGCCCTGTCTGTGCACTTTTCCTCTGGGGAGAAAGGACATGACCCCCCTCCCCGCCACCTGGGCCCACACTGCTGCCTTGTTCCAGGACAGAGGCTTTGGGACCCTCGCCTCCGACCCCGCTCAGCCAAGTGTCTCTCCGTGTCCCCTTGGAAGGTGGGGGTCAGACACCCGCGTGGGTCAGTGTATTTTTAAGCTCCTTGAGCATTGAGCCGTGGGTCAGTGTCTGCATGAAGTGGAATAAACTTGCCCACCGCCAGCCCCTCCTCTCCCAGGCCTCTGTGCTCCTGTGCCCAAACATCTGCATTCAGTTCCTCCCCACCACCACCAGGGGGTGCCACATTCCACCAGCCCACTGCCTGTAGCAGGCTCCTCCCCAGGCATCACCTAGTCCACCCTCCCCAGAGCCTGTCACCCTGGCCCTACTTCTGACTTGGCAACTGAATGAGGCCGGGAGGGGCCGCCTGAGGCTCCCAAGAGGGAGGGATGGCCCTGGGAGTCCTCACAGCCATATTTCCTGGCTTTATCCCCACCAGATCACAGGATCCAGCCTTACCCTGGGACCAGGTCAAGGCTGAGCTGTGGGTCTGGGCAGCTCAGACCTGATGTGTGGCCTGAGGCTGTGCCCTGGGCCTCTAGACTCCTGGTGCCCAAGGGGTCAGGTTCTGATGGCCGCCTGAGGGCACTCTTGAAGGCTGGCCTCTTGAAACTGGTCTCAGCATCCCTAGTAGGTTTGGGGGCCTTTGTGCTGAGGCTGGGAGGGTCTGAGTGTCCTGTGGGATCAAGAGTCATCACCCCTGCCCTGTGTCCCTCATTCTCCATAAATCAGGAAGAAGCCACTCCCCGTTTCCCTTCCCATCTCTCTAAGACTAAGGTCAGGGGTGAACCCTAAGGTCTCTGCAGTCCCTACACAGGTCTGAAATTAGCAAAGATTCCTCCACTCCTCTGTGGCCCCTGGTAGAGGATCTGGACACAAGGTCCCGGGGGCTCCTGGGCCCTGGCTGCAGAACAAGAGGCTCAAGAGGAAAGGGGGAAGGCCCTTAAGAGATAGGGCTGAGCATGGGTTTGACACCCGCCAGCAGGAGCCCTGCCCTGGGCTTCCGGGAGCTGCCCCACCTGCCCTGCCCGGGCACAGTCCAGCTTTCCTGCCCTTCGAACTGCACTTGTGATTAGTATTGATGGCTGTGGGCTAATCATTAACGGCCACCAGGGGCTGGGCCAGCAGTTTAAAAAACCCTGGGTCTAGGGCATCCCCACTTCCTGACCCAAGGGGACAACCAGGCACCCAGGTAAGAGGCTTCCCCAAACCCTGATTTCTCCCCAGCCCAGACCCTTCTCTGGGCCTGGGCGCTGCCCCTCAGCTCTAAAGCTCAAGGCGAGCGCTCTACCACTTGAGCCACAGCGCCTCTTCCCAGTGGGCCTAACCTCTTTTCTGTACTTGGCTTTCTACCCTGGGATGAGTGGCCTGCAGCCTCTCCTCAGTTGCCCATTGTCCTAGAGCTAGGATTCCCAGTCAGGGGCTGTGTCTGGCAGGCCAGGGCTGCTGGACACCCCCTCCTCCAAGCCAGAGGCCAGGCTGGCCTAGGCCACCAGGGGAGGGGGGGGGGGCTGTAGGTTCTACAGTGCTGGTTGGTCGCCAGCTCTGGTGTCTTCATTTGCAGGCTCATCCTCTCAGACAGAAGGAACCCTGCCCGCAGCTCCCTGGCCTGTCTCAACTGCACCCAGCACGGGCAGCTCCCGCCCTAAGACCCTGATCTGTGGCCTTGGGCAGCCTCCTCTGCCACCCTGGGCCTTTGCCCACCACAAGCAAAGGGAAACATGGCCTAAGTCCACAACAGGGTGTGGGCAGGACAGCGCCCATACCTATCATTGAAGCTTCTCAGTCCCAGAGTTTGTGTAGAAGGGGGTGAAGGTTCCAGAGAAGGGCTCCCAGAGCCCGTGTGGAAAGCAGCTTCCCCTAGTCTAGGTCAGAATGCAGGATGCTTTACCAGCTCTAGCTTGTATGGAGGAACTGGCAGCAGATCAGAGAGGTTAAGATACTTGTTCTAGGTGACAGCTCTCAGGCCTCACTGGCTCAGGCTGCTGAGGTTCCATGTGTGTGTGCACACAAGCAGCAGCAGCTCTGTTCTTAGCACTTGCTGACCGGTCTGGTTGAATTATCAGAAACTGTGTGTGTGTGTGTGTGTGTGTGTGTGTGTGTGTGTGTGTGTGTGTGTGTGTGTGTGTGTGCACGATACTGAAACTTGAACCCAGGACCTGGGTGCTGTCCGTTAGCATTTGTGCTCAAGACTAGCATTCTACCACTGGAGCCACAGTTCTGTTCTGGCTTTTTGCTGGTTAATTGGAGATAAGAGTCTCATGTACGTTTCCCGCCCCACCTGGCTTTGAGCTGTGATCCTCAGATCTCAGCCTTCTGAGCAGCTAAGATTATAAGCGGGAGCCCTGGGTACTGGGATCTTTTTGTTTTGTTTTGTTTTTTCCAGGGCCTTTTGTGTGCTGGGCGTGTGCTACTCTGCCACACCCTAACCCTCAAGTTCTCTTCCCCTCCCCCTCACCTCTTCTCCATCTCTTTACTGTCTTCTCTGACCTTTTTCTCATTTTTTGTTTCTCTTCCAGCCCCTGAGCCTCACCTCCCGACCCCGTCCTGTCCTCCCTGCTGCGTCCCCAGCTTCCCACACCAGGCCATCCTCAGGGAAATGGACATTTAGAGGGCCCTGGAGAGCCACAGATGCCCCCATAGCCACCATGGAAAAGGTGGCCAAAGGGCATAAGGTGGAGGCTTCAGCGGCCCAGCTCTAGTTGGAAAAGTAACAAGGAAACAAAAGAGCTTGGGGACAGAGGGCGGGGGCTGTCACTGTGGGCAAAGGCTAGCCAAGAGTTGTAAATCCAAGCCACTCCCAGCTTTATGAGGCAGCTTTGGGGTTGAACCTGGACTTCGCCCAGAAAGGAGGGTTGGCACCCCCACGGGGTACCAGGTGTGGGCCCTGATAATAAGGGTTTCGATAAAGGTCATGGACCTGGGGCCAAGAGGATCCAGCGGCATGGAGTGGACGGTATGGGCTTCTCCCAGGATCCTCTCCACCAGGCGAGCAGAACACAGCTTCCTATTGCTTCCTGCGAATAGAACTCAACTTCTCATTGGCTCCTGCAAACAGAAAGCAGCTTCTCATTGGCTCCTGCCCCCTGTAACAGCAACTCCATGTGGAAGTGCCACCGTTTCCAGTGGGGCTGCTGTTATCCGGGGCGGCAGCGGGTACCCACGGAGGAGGAACAGCAGCTGCCGTCCAGCAAGCCCTCAGGGGCCTCCCTGGTGATGTCAGGCCAGGATGGCCAAGGGTGGCGGGCTGCCGGCTCACTGTCAAGACCCAGTGCACAAGGCTCTGACCTATGAATTGACAGCCAGTGCGCTGTCTCCCCCTGGCTGCCAATTCCATAGGTCACAGGTATGTTCGCCTGAATGCAAGCCGCCAGGACCTGTGAAGGCAGCCCGGCCAGAAAGTGTCCAAGGGTGGAAAAGAAAGATCTAGCCACTCCAGCACAGGGCCCAAACCCCAACTCCCCCATCCCATTCCCATCTTTCCTTCTTCCTTTCCTTCCTTCCTTTTTATTTAGGTCTGGAACTCTAGGCCTAGGTGCTGCCCCTTGAGCTTTTCTACTCAAGGCTAGTACTCTACCACATGAACCACAACTCCATTTTTTTTTAAATTTTTTTTGGTGTTTAATCAGAGATGAGAATCTCCTGGACTCATAGGCTGGCTTAGCACTGCAGTCCTCAGATTTCAGCATCCTGAGTAGCTAGGATTACAGGTGTGAGCCACTGGCACCTTTTCCTTTCCTTTTTTTTTCTGCTCCCAGGGATGGAACCCCAGGACCTTGTACATGCTAAGGAAGCATTCTACCAAGCGAGGAATAACCCTTCTTGAAGCATTTGATCCTAAGTACCGCACTGCACTCACCAAGCGGGGGGTGGGGGGTTGTGGGCCTTTCTCTGCACCACAGAGAGCTCAGCCCCCAGACCTGGGAGCCCAACTATGTGCACAATGAATGCTCCCAAGCCTACATCTTACACCCCAAAGAATTATTAGTGGGTGTTCACCAGGGCCTGGAGGGAGACACCAAGGACAGAAATCACCAAGCAGTCCCCCACCCCCAACTTGCTCACTGTCTTCTCTCTGGCATTCTCACTTCCCTAAGGCATAGCCTGGACTCCCTGGTTTTAAACAGGCCAGGGGCCTTATCTGATGTTGGTGATGGTAGTGGTGGTGGTGGTGGTAGCAGCCTGGTGGACAGGACTGCCTGCCCCACCCCTCCCCCGTTCTCCTGTGACAGCTGCAATCCTACCCTCTCTCTATATATGTAATGGGACTCTGGGAGATTTTCTATTTGGAAAGAAAATTCAAGGTTTTGCTGCTTGCTGGGCGCCGGTGGCTCACACCTATCATCCTAGTTACTAATGAGGCTGAGATCTGAGGATCAAGGTTCAAAGCCAGCTTGGGCAGGAAAGTCCATGAGACTCTTATCTCCAATAAAAACCACTAGAAAACCTGAAGTGGTGCTGCGGCTCAAGTGGTAGAGCGCTCACCTTGAGCTGAAGAGTGCAAGAACAGTGCCCAAGCCCAGAGTTCAAGCCCCATGACCGACCGAAAAAAAAAAAAAGTCCATGAGACTCTTATCTCCAATAAACTACTCAGAAAAGGCTAAAAGTGGTACTGTGGTTCAAATGGTAGAGCACTAGCCTTGAGCACAAAGAGGCTCAGGGACAGTCCCCAGGCCCTGAGTTCAAGCCCCAGAACCAGCAATAAATAAACAAATAAAGATTTCTGCTGCTAACATAAAGTTTTAGCAGAACACTGGTGGTTCATGCCTGTAATTCTAGCTGAGATCTGAAGATCACCATTTGAAGCCAACCCTCACAAAAAAATTCCATGATACTCATCTCTAGTTAACCAGCAAACAGATGGAAGCATAGATCTAAGAATAAAATATAATGGGTAAGCCAGGTGCTGGTGCCTTACAACTGTAATCCTAGCTGCTGAAGAGGCTAAGATCTGAGGAGCTTGGTTTGAAGCCAGTTAGGATAGGAAATGTCCAAGAGACTCATCTCCAATTAACTACCCCCAAAAAATCTGAAAGTGGAGTTATGGTTGAAGTGATAGAGCCACTAGCCTTGGGCAAAAAGCGCAGGGACAGCCCTCAGGCCCTGAATTCAAACCCATGACCAGCATGTGCATGTGCGTACAAACACACACACACACACACACA